TACATGTATCAACTTATGAAAGCTGTAACAAAAAAGTTATCATCTGATCTGTATAAAATTTATATGCATAGAAAAGAAACAATAATTAATTTCAACAATTTCTGTTAATTATTTCTAGAGTTATTTCCCTTTTTATACGCCCACTTTTTCATGTGGATGTATATTGTTGTCGCCCCTGTCCGTTAGGACGTCACAATTCTTATCCGATTTTGCCGAAACTTGAAATATAGGTTTATCTCCAAAAGATCTCGGCTGCTTTCGATATTGGCATGTATTGGATCGAAACTTCATGGATTATGGCCCCTGTTTGTACGAAAAATCACGTTTTTAGCTTGTGGACACTATAGAGGTCACAATTTTTATCCAATTTTGTTGAAACTTGAAATATAAGTTTATAACCCAAAGATTTCGGTTCCTTTCGATATTCGCGCATACCGGACCTTAATTTCCTGAATTATGGCGCCTGATTGTACGAAAAATCACGTTTTTAGCTTATGGACCCTATAGAGGTTATAATTTTTATCCGATTTAAAAAAACGTTTTATTATATCACCGTTACGCCCTAAGGACGACTGAGTTCGAATTTCGTGAAAATCGCCCCAAAATTGACAGACAAAATGGCTGCCGTTCTTTCTCAAATAGGGTAAAGTATATCAAGGTTGTGGACCCTATAGAGGTCACAATTTTTATACGATTTTGTTGAAACTTGAAATGTAAGTTTATAACCCAAAGATCTCGGTTCCTTTCTATATTCAAGCATATCGGACTGTAACTTCCTGAATTATGGCCCCTGATTGTACGAAAAATCGCGTTTTTAGCTTGTGGACCCTTTAGAGGTCATAATTTTTATCCGATTTAAAAAAAAACATTTTATTTTATGACCGTTACACCCTAAGGACGGCTGAGTTCGAATTTCATGATTGTACGAAAAATCAAGTTTTTAGCTTGTGGACCCTATAGAGGTCATAATTTTTATTCAATTTAAAAAAACGTATTATTATATCACTGTTACACCCTAAGGACGACTGAGTTCGAATTTCGTGAAAATCGTCCCAAAACTGACAGAAAAAATGGCCGCCCCTCGTTCCTTTCGATATTTGCGCATATCGAATTGTAATTTCCTGAATTATGGCCCTTGATTGTAGGGAAAATCACTTTCTTTTTAGCTTGTTCTCTGTCCATCTCTCGAAAATGTGGGCGTATCCTGCCTGGCAGCCGCTGGTTATTCTTTGTAAAACCTTGTTAACAGTAACACTCGAACCATAAAAGTTATCATCTGATCTGTATGAAATTGATTTCAGTGTCTTGTAATGCTCCTGCAAGAAAATTAATATGCAACAACCCTTGTCAATGGCTTGTCCAATTTAGCTGCTATTGCCTGGCAACCTATCTTTAATTTTACATACATGTTTGTACTGTATCCCCGCGAAACAAATGTATTACAAACTTAGTACAACAAACAACCAGCCAAGGAATTTCATAATTTGTTACGTGTCTTGCAGTCTCTACTATTACTAATCGCTAGCGATTTCTTAACATCTTAATATGTACATGTATTTAACCACTTTTTTTTTCACTGACCCTGAAGCAAATTTGGATCTGAACACTTGGTCTTACTACATGACTGTGTTTCGATGAAGCTTGGAAAACTATAAATTTTACTTTGAAAAGATGTTCACTGCATGGAATATAAATGAATTTCAAGTTACTTACATGTATTATGTATTAACAGTCATTGCTCATGCTTAAAAATATTGTTCAATATTTTTGTTAACAGTAGAGGAGTACATGTATAATTTTTCATCAGTGTTATTGCCATTGCGTAAATTTGTCTTCAAACTTTTGTCAAAAATGTTACCTATTCTACATGTAGGCTACATGTACATGTAGCTACATATATGATTGTATGTCAAAATATTGGACAGTGCTGCTCCATGGGACTGTATTGTGGAATGTGTACAAATGTACATGTACCTCCTACAATTTAGAGAGATCAGACTGTCTGCTTTCCTCATTACATTTGTAATCTGATACAAGAATCCATGTTTATAGTGCAGGATACATTAGACTGTCTACATTCAGACTTCTTAAATAATGTGGTCATATTAAATGCTGTCACATCATGAGTACATGTACAATGTAGGTCCATTGTCCACTGTGGACATTCTAAAGACTGCATTCGTTTTCATCTGTTCTTTTTAGGTTTAGGTTAATGATGCTACTGTTATTGCCCTTGAGCACTTTGTAGAATCTTGTAAACACTCTCGACGACGAAGGTAATCTTCTGATCTCACTTACCGACCCTATTTCTCTTGGCCATGCATGTACATTGCCAAGAAATCTTACACACAGATTTGGTATGTCGGAGACAATCTCCCTTAAATTTCATTTTTTTAAATTCAAATCAACAGTCCCATCAAAATTTTGAAAAATTCACGGAGATGTCTTGTATTCATGAACTTCAAAATCATGATAATGATTTATCTATGAAATATGTTATATACATGTAAATTTATACTTTTACTTTATAAATATAGCCTAGAGAACATTCTGTTTGGGTGAAAGCCCTATACTACAAACCAGTATGACTGGTAAATAAATTTTTGAAAACAAGTACATTTCAGACACATGTGTACATGTATAATATAATGCAAAAACTTCCCAAAAGTTAATTAATCTGAATGTCAATTTCCAGACTGTTAACTAAATGTATGTGAATTTGCCACAGTATTGCTCTCACTGATTATTCTTGGGTCAGGTCCATCCTTAGGTGTTGGCCTGGGGACACAGAAGTTGACAAAGGAATGCGTTTTTTTGTCAGTATTTATCCGAAATATTTGTTAATTGTGGTACATGTACATACATGTACATGTATGTATATGATACAGATAAATCTTGTTCATTTGAAGTCTTTCTAATTATATACACCTCTTCGGTAATAAATGATCAACTATAAAGCATTTGTAAAAACCTTTACTGCCTTGTACTTGTACATGTAGGGTGTGTCGATTAATGGATTTTACTATACATGTACTGGTACATGTAGATCCAGGTATCGAATTTGCATGATAATTATACTTATCCGGCCAGATTTATTTCATTATAGTAAATTTGGTATACCGGTACAGTGCGGTACTTGCCATTGTGATCTCGTATTTAAATTTTATTGTAAGGCAAAGTTCACTTTTCCAAAGCCTTAAAGTTGTGTACAACTGTATGACTAACTGAAATTTTAATAGAAACGGGATATCAAATAACAAAACTTCAACTTCGAAGGAGTACTGAAATGTTTCCGTATGTCAGGTCACGGCTTGTCACGTCAACAATCAAGCTGCACCATGAGCTATTGAGCATAGTAACATCCAATGCCTATTAAAGTGGAAAAACATGTTATTTTCAACTCTTAATAAAACCGGAAGTTATACTTCAAGACCAAACTTTTTGGTATTACCGGTAGTTGTTAGTAGACGTCAGGGTCATCATGTACATGTATGCAAATTGCAATGGTCAAGGGTCATCGAAGGGCTAGGTCACCAGATAATAGGTCAAAAGTCAAAAATATTTCAAAGTTAAACCGGAAGTAAACAAATTGAATACATGTATATTATTTTGAAGTCATCAAAGTTTCAATTTGATACATGTACCTCAATTACTAACAGATACATGGCATCTTGAATGTTGAATAAAATGCTCAAGAAAATTTTTGTAAATCCTTGATGCTAAAGCTAATCGAACAAACATCCAAATTTCAAAAAAACATTAGTTAGATCCCGTATAGGATTCATTCAAAGAATCCAAAAACCAAACCCAACGACTGATGTGTTGAGAAACAACCGAGATATAGGCAATCTGAGATTATTTTTTGTCCCATCGGTAAAACACTGCCTGTATGTCAAAAATTTATATTTAATTTTAATAAAGAGTTCCACAGAGGCCAACCAACCACATTTAGGTTGGCAGAATGTTTGCACCATGTGCAGTTTTGGCTGCAAACTCAGATTAAAATCATCAAAAAAAAGAAAGGTCCAAAACACATAAAAACCCGTACATGTACATGTAGCATCATAAGTACAAATATCTACTCCTAGTTTTGGTCTGCCATTTACATCATCTTCCCTAAACATTATAAACCTACATGTACTTATTATAAGCCTAATTTTCAAGCCTTATTTTTATTTAAAAATGGACAAAATGCCAGAATTAACTGCTTATAATTTCAAGACCATTAATTTTCACAGTCGGAAGTACATGTACATGTACTTGTACATTAATTCAATCCTAAATAAATTTTTCTTGAAATTTGAGTTTGGGGGTCTTAATTCTTATATCAACATGTTCATTTGTATACTGTGATTGTTAATTTTTATCAAATCACTCTTAAAGATTTATTTGTTGATTTGAAGATCTACATGATCAGTAATATTATTCTTGTAAATGAAATGAGGTTTAACGTCCTTCATGTTAATGACTGGTCTAATGAAGACGGGCACACGCCATACAGTGTGCTATACAATGAGGAAAATTTTGCCTGGGCAGTGGCACTATGGCCTACCGTTATATTGAATTTGAACTGCCAAGGGATCTTGTATGTGCATGCCAATGTATACACAGGTCCTCGGTTTTTTGTCCCATCCGAATGACTAAACAGCTACCCTTGTCAGGCCCTCCGTCCTGCGCCGCTGGAAAATCCCAATGAAGTTTCTCTGTCATTGTTCTTGTAAGAGAATGATATATGACTATCCTCTAATTCACTACCACCGTGCAACTTACATGTATGTTCGACTCACTTTGCTATTTATACAATTACATGTACTAATTAAAGACTTACATGTACATTGCACTTACAACAAATTGAGTACCATTGTATCAAGCAAACTTCAATAAAAAATAAATTTGACAGTTTGCTTGCAGGCCTACAGTACGTGTATTACAAGATATCCTGCTTCTTATAATGGTGTCCTTATTGATTAAATGTCTAAACAAATTCTCTTTTATTTCAGCTTGTACAAGTAAAGATATTCGTAACGATGTTGACAACTTGAGGGAATTAGAGAATTGTACCACTATAGAAGGATACTTGCACATCACATTAATAGAACGAGGTGTGGAAGCAGATTTTGAAAAATATCAATTCCCGAAGCTGGTTGAAATCAGCGGTCATTTACTGCTTTACAGAGTTAGTGGATTGAAAACGTTAAGACGCATATTTCCGAATTTAGCAGTCATTCGAGGTCAGGAGTTATTTCATAACTATGCTTTAACTGCATATGAAATGCAAGACCTTGAAGAATTAGGTCTTGTCAGTTTAACCGCCATTAAGAGAGGAGCCGTCCGATTGGAAAAAAATTCAAAACTTTGTTATGTTGACACAATTGATTGGGCCAAATTGATTGATAGTAAGGAACCAAAAGATAATGTCTTCATTGAAAATAAAGATGAACAAGAATGTGTGAATATCTGCCCTGACAGCTGTGAAAGATCTAAAGTTGATGGGAAACTTGCAAAGCGTTGTTGGAGTTCAAGTGACTGTCAAAAAGGCATGAGTAAGTTAAATTTACTTTTATAATTCAAATGTCTCGTGTTTGTTTTTACAAGACTGATCTGTTATATAATTGTTAAAATATAACATCAAATGTCATGTACACATTAAAAAACAGGAGTTTATTTGATGAGAAAATGGCGTCTGAATAGGTTAGATTGAACAGTAAAAATGTCAATAAAGCATGATAAAAAAAACACATGCCAATAAATCCATTTCGTTATCTCAGTCTGTTATCAGCATGTCCGCTTACAAATTACTCAGTACTGAGCTGAACATCATGCAGTGGTTGGTTATTGCTCAGAAGCCATAATTTATGTACACATACACGTTCAGGTAGTCTGAGAGCTTTGATCTGCAAAATAATCCTGATAATAAATCATCTTTTTTTCCCCTACTTGAACTTGCCATATTTTACAGTTATATACATGTACTATAGTAGGAGCAGGTACATGTACATGCACCCGTGGGTATGCACTGAAAACCTGTATTTCTCAGTTACATAGAATATACATGTACAATGTAGGTACCAGTCGAACTTTACATGTACATTATATGCACTGAAAACCTGTATTTCACAGTTAGGTATATATCGTACATGTACATCTTGTACGCAAATAGTGTTGTGGACCCTCTAGAAATCACAATTTTTTTATTGATGTATATCCAAAAGATTGCAGCTCCTTTTGATATTTGCGCTTATCGGACCGTAACTTCCTAGACTATGGCCCCAGATAGTACGATAAATCATGTTTTTAACTTGTGGTCCCTCTGGAGCTCACAATTTTATGCGATATTAAAATCCTTCAAAATATCACTGTTACACCCTTATGACGCTTGAGTTTGAATTTTGTACAGATCGACCGAAACTGCACAACAAAATGGCCACTTTTCGCATGCAAATAGTGTAAAAGTATGTACATTTGCGGACCCTCTAGAGGTCACAATTTTTATCCGATTTTGATGAAACTTAAAATATATGTTTACGTGAAACTTAAAATATATGTTTACATGTATATCCCAAAGATCTCAGTTCCTGTTGATATTCCTGGATTATGGCTCCTGATGTATGAAAAATTGCTTTTTTTTTTAGTTTGTTCTGTCCATCGCTTCTACAATGTGGGCGTATCTTGTGTGACAACCGCTTGTACATGTACATGTATGTTTGTAATAATTATAATTATAAACGACCAGCGATGGGAAACAATTTTCTGAAAATAATATTAACATTTTAATTTTGCAAATGATTGGCCCATGCGCGGACCGGCCCGAGCCCAAAATCTGAAGAAGAAAAAAAACTATTGTTGCGACACTCCAGAATTGTTGAGCAAGTACACACTGTTTAGTATTATAAGAACCGTAAAGAAGGATAAATAAATGAAGAACAGGGATATTACAGGATAATATTATTAACAGTGTTAATCCCGCCCGAGCAACGTATACATGTATGTATCTATTTTATTGAAGGCATATGCAATAAAACAAAAATTCCCATCGAAAATGGGGTTTGGGGGCACCCCTGCTCAGCACTTTGTATCCATGACTAAGGCAGTTATCAATACCCCTGTCTTGTATAGAATGACTATTCCCAAAAAGAGGCAAACAAACTGCTTCCCATATTTCATAGGTGTTAAGAGATTCTTAGGAAGTAAACGGTTTAATTATTCTGTTGCTTAAGTGAGATATGACTAAATTTAATTGCTCAACTCAAAAATAAATAGATCACAATTACTTAAGTCATTTTTCTCAGCCTGTATTGACCCTACATTTTAAAAACCGCCACTGTCAAAATAAATATGGCTATTATCATGAATGATTTGAGTACAAAAACTGTATCTTCAGTGTCATCTAGCACATACATGTACATGTACAGACAGAGAAGTTTTTGTTTTTTTTCGCTTATCTAAAAACATAAAAAATGTGTTGAGCACTTGTGATATGATCGTGACGATATGTGGTCTTCCATGAAAATACTGATAAAGTACACCTCTATGGTACCTGCAATAAATTAATTACCTACAAGTAACATTATGTTAAAGAAAGTAACATTTATACATGTATGCTAAATATTGTTTTATATAATTAAGTAATGTGTTTTTATACGCCCACATTTTCATGTGGACGTGGACGTTAAGGCTGGGAATCGATATGAAATTTCAATATCGATTATCGGCAAGAATTTGTCAGCGATTATCGATAATAATCGATTATCAATCATTCTTCCGGAAAAACCGAACTTTACTGACCTGTTATTTGTGTTGATCGAGTTACAGTAGTGTTATTATCCTAGTCTAATACTGTGCCGATGTACGTAAAAAAAATCAATTAATGTAAAATAATTAGTTGCTAAATGTAGGATTAACTTGAGTATTATTCTAAGTTTTGTTCTTGATTTGAACCTTTTTTTTATTCCAATATCTCCGATAAATACAAAGACAATACATGTACATGGTTTCTCTTTGCAAGTTACTGGCGATCACACAGTGTTACTAATAATAGAATAAAATATAATAAAAGGCGTCTATTGATTGGACAATAAAAAAATAATTACCGGCTTTCAAAGTAGATTTTTTATGATTGGTTAATTTTGACGAAAACCAAAGTAGAATTCTTCCAAGAAATTACGAGAGATATAGATATTTTCCCGGGAAGTCAAAAACGTGTTTTGTATGGGCTGTATCTGACATGATTTAGTAATAAAAGCTGAGTTGATCATTAATAATACAATTAGTTTTATCGTGAAAGCAGACAATTTCTCTACAAATCAATCAAGAGCAAAAAAGGGAGATAATTCTAATTTTACTATATCACGTGTGATCGTCATTGTTCACAAAGTTCGTGACCTATTTTAGTTTCAACTAGTAATAACAACAAAAACAACGAAAATATTAAGATAATGTATTTAATCTTAAAGTTTAGTTTTTTTTACAATAATATATATTTAAAATGTGCCAGTTTGTAAGCAGAGGGGGGAAATAGTTGTTGTGTTGACGTTGTGTATTCGTTCATTCGTCTGCATGCCAGACTACGGCAAGTTCAGTCATGTGAAAGTGACCGTAACTTGCCGTCAGAAGGTAAATATATCGATATTTGAATTTCAGTATCGATTATCGTATCGCTAAATAACTTCTACCGATTATCGATTATATCGATATTTTTGCACAGCCTTAGTGGACGTACATGTATATTGTCGTTGCCCCTGTCCATCCAGAGGTCTATCCATCCACAATTTGTTTGTGGACACTGTACAGGTCACAATTTTTATCCGATTTTGACCAAACTTGAAATATAGGTCTATTTCCCAAAGATCTCGGTTCCTTTCGATATTCGCATGTATCGGACCATAGCTTCATGGATTATGGCCCCTGATTGTACAAAAAATCACGTTTTTAGTTTATGGACACTCTAGAGGTCATAATTTTGATCCGATTTTGATGAAACTTGAAATGCATGTTTATAACCCAAATATCTTGTTTCCTTTCGATATTCGCGCATATCGGATCAGAGCTTCCTGAATTACATGTATGGCCCCTCATTTTACGAAAAATTGCGTTTTTAGCTTGTGGTCTCTCTAGAGGTCACAATTTTTATCCCTTTAAAAAACTGTTTTAGTATATCACTGTTACACCCTAATAATGGTTGAGTTTGAATTTCGTGAAAATCGGATGAATACTGCGGGCCAAAATGGCCGCTTCTTGTACACAAATAGTGTAAAATATGGTATATCAAGGTTATAGAACCTCTAGAGGTCACAATATTCATGCTATTTTGATGAAACATGGAATGCCATGTTTACATGTATATCCCAAAGATTTTGGTTCCTTTTTATATTTGCGCATAATTGGATTGTAACTTCCTGAATTATGGCTCCTGATTGTACGAAAAATCACGCCTTTAACTTGTGGTCCCTCTAGAGGTCACAATTTTTATCCGATTTAAAAAAACGTTTTAGCATTTCACCATTACTCCCTAATGAGGATTGAATTTGACTATCACGAAAATCGGACGAAAACTGTCAGACAAAATGGACGTTCATATGGTATATGAATGTTATGGACCCTCTAGAGGTCACAATTTTCATCCGATTTTGATGAAACTTGGAATGCATGTTTATATCCCAAAGATCTTGATTCCTTTCAATATTCGTGCATATCGGATTGTAACTTCCTGAATTATGGCCCCTGATTGTACGAAAAATCACGCTTTTAACTTGAGGTCCCTATAGAGGTCACAATTTTTATCCGATTTAAAAAAACGTTTTAGCTTTTCACCGTTACACCATAATGACGGCTGAGTTCGAATTTCGTGAAAATCGGCCTAAAACTGACAGACAAAATGGCCGCCCTACGTTCTCAAATAGCGTAAAAATATGGTATATCAAGGTTGTGGACCCTATAGAGGTCACAATTTTTATCCGATTTTGTTGAAACTTGAAATGTAAGTTCATAACCCAAAGATCTCGGTTCCTTTCGATATTCGCGCATAACGGACGGTAACTTCCTGAATAATGGTCCCTGATTGTACAAAATATCGCGTTTTTATCTTGTGGGCCCTATAGAGGTCATAATTGTTATCCGATTTAAAAAACCATATTATTATATCACCGTTACACCCTAAGGACGGCCGAGTTCAAATTTCATGAAAATCGGCCCAAAACTGACAGACAAAATGGCCGCACTTTGTTCTCATATAGCGTAAAAATATGGTATATCTAGGTTGTGGCCCTATAGAGGTCACAATTTTAATCCAATTTTGATGAAACTTGAAATGTAAGTTTATAACCCAAAGATCTCGGTTCCTTTCGATATTCGCGCATATCGGACCGTAACTTCCTGAATTATGGCCCCTGATTGTACAAAAAATTGCGTTTTTAGCTTGTGGACCCTATGGAGGTCATAATTTTTATCCGATTTAAAAAAACGTATTATTATATCACTGTACACCCTAAGGATGACTGAGTTCGAATTTCGTGAAAATCGGCCCAAAACTGACAGACAAAATGGCCGCCCTTCGTTCTCAAATAGCGTAAAAATATGGTATATCAAGGTTGTGGACCCTATGGAGGTCACAATTTTAATTCAATTTTGATGAAACTTGAAATGTAAGTTTATAACCCAAAGATCTCGGTTCCTTTCGATATTCGCGCATATCGGAACGTAACTTCCTGAATTATGGCCCCTGATTGTACGAAAAATCGCGTTATTAGCTTGTGGACCCTATAGAGGTAATAATTTTTATCCGATTTAAAAAAATGTATTATTATATCACCGTTACACCCTAAGGATGACTGGGTTCGAATTTCGTTAAAATCGGCCCAAAACTGACAGACAAAATGGCCGCCCTTTGTTCTCAAATAGCTTAAAAATATGGTATATCAAGGTTGTGAAATGTAAGTTTATAACCCAAAGATCTCGGTTCCTTCCGATTTGGATGAAACTTTAAATATAGAATATATGTTTTTATCATAAAGATCTTCGTTCCTTTTGATAATCACACATATCCAAACGTAATTTCCTGGATTATGGCCCCTGATTGGTCGAAAAATCACATTTTTAGCTTGTGGATTCTCTATTTTTTTTACAATTTTAAAAATTGTTGAGATATATCACCATTCCAAAATGGTCATATTTACTATTTTGACTGATAATTTTGCAAATTTAACCATGATATTTTCTCTTAGAGTATGACAACGATTCGACTCCATAAAGAACTGGTATTATATTTTGGGGTCTTATAAAACAAGCTGCCGTATTTTGTTTCGCAGTACGCCAGTAGGGCCTATTTATTTGTTTGGCCTGTTTTTAATCCAAGCCAAGAGATTATCTACTGTTGATATATTGATTTTGTTTTAATTAAATGTTTAATTAATTTGAGTACATTTTAGTATAGATTAAGACGTGGAAAATTAGATATTGTCTTAAAATAGGGGGACTTTAAAAATGCAGTCTATGTGCACTGTGTACAAACAGCTACATGTACAGTAGCTGCAAGAGGCAAGTGTCACATTTCCTCTCAAGTTTTAATTTTTGCTAGAATTTTTTTTTTCTTTTAAACTGTAAAAAATAGTGTGATAAATATTATGAACCATATTGTGTTCGTGGTCTGACAACCTGTTGCACGATTTATTAATAAATAGGACAAATTTTAGCAGATCTACAATGTACATGTATAAACTGATTATTAAGTACATGTACATGAGTACACCTGCATGTGAATAACATGATAATACATGTATCTGCAAAGTATGTAACATTATGCCTACAGATACATTATTATTATTGTCTACATTGTTCATCCAACTTATATTTTATATACATGTAATGAAACACTACTATGATAATAATCTTATAGTACATGTACTTTAACATTTGTAATCTTACACTACATGTACATGTACATATTGTATTTGTAGTTCATGAGCATGTGGTGAAGTCATGCCATTTAGATAATGCATGTAAAGTTACCACCAATAATTAAAAGTAACTTCGCAATAATGAAGCTATCTTTTGTAACTGGATACAAAAATGGACAAATAGACTTTTTGGATCATTTTCATTGGTCCAGTCGGAGCAGAACTGTAGAACGTTAAACCCCATTTCATTTCATTTCATTTCTTTAAAAGCAGTGTTAATTTCTAAAGCCGACTGGTTTTGCTCCCAATGTTGGGTGAGAAAATTCCATAGGCCATAGGATTTTCCTGTATTTTTACCCCATGTTTGGATGGGTAGAAAAAGTCCTGGTCCCTTATATAGGTTGGTGTGTACATAAAAGAAGCCTTGGCAGTTGCGTTCTGAAATAATTTCCCCTATAGCACACTGCATAGAGTATGTCCATCTTCATCCGCCTGGTTGGTGCACAATACATGTACATGTACTTGTAGGATGTTAACCCCATTTCACTTTACTGACCAAAAGTGCTTATCATAACTAGATGTAGATACATACATGTACATGTATAACGTCATGTACACATACATGCATTTCAGTACCTTCCTGGGAAAAAATTGTACTATTCTGCAGGTATAAGATGGATAAATCTTTTAACTGGCATTATCAGAACACTTATATTCAATTGCTGGTTAGTGGGTCTTTCTGTCCTTTCGCAACTTTATTTCTGCTAGTGCCTAGCTACATTTTGGCACTTTTACCGATTAGTTTTAAACATCGTAAGAGAGTAAATTTTGAAAATGAAAAATAAAGAAAATAATACTAGTCGGATAGAATTTTCTTGGCGGGCTGGGATGATCACCATCTAATTTTTTTTATTTTGCCTAACTTCGAACATCGGCAACATAGATGTACATGTAAACATGTATAGCAATCTGATTGTTTGTATAAACAATATTTTATTCACAGAACTTGATTTATTAAGACTATTTACGGAAACATAAAAATTCTGCGTTTTTTTTTAAGCACTTGCCCATTATTTCTTTAATTTCAGGACACAGGGTTTGGTTGCATTATGTTTATATCACAAAGATCTTGGTTCTTTTCAATAATCGCGCACATCCAAACATAACAGCCTGGATTATGGCCCCTGACTGTTCGAAACATCGCATTTTTAGCTCTAGAGGTCACAATTTTTATCCGATTTTAAAAAACGTTTAAATGTATCACCGTTAAACCCTAATGACGGTTGAGTTCGAATTTTGTGAAAATCAGACCGAAACTGCCTGACAAAATGGCCGCTCCATGTATGCAAATAGTGTAAAAGTATGTAATATCTTGGTTGTGGACCCTGTAGAAGTCACAATTTTTATCCGATTTTGATGAAACTTAAATATATCTTTATAATATATCCGAAATATCTCAGTCCCTTTCGATATTTGCACATTTCAGACCATAACTTCCTGGATTATGGCCCCTGAGTGAATGAAAAATCTTTCTTTTTTTTGGCTTGATCTCTATCCATCTCCTGCAAAATGTGGGCATATCTTGCCTGGCATCCACTGGGATTCATTGGACGACAAACGGCACAATGATCATGTGACAAACACACGACTTGTATAGCCTTCAATAATAACAACAATATTTTAAAAAATAATCCACTCTGTCTATTGACCTAATTCCAACCCTTGTCATGTGTCATAAGGATTCAGCATTGGAGATTATGTTGGAAAAATATATTATTATTAATGACTGTTTCTCGGTGTATGAGGCATTTGATCAGGGGGTTATATTCAATGAAGATTTTTAAAATTTAACTAACAACTGGACAGTGAAACCATCAAATATATGATCCAATTATTATTTTGATATGTACTGGTGCCTGGAATGTATACGAAGCGTTGAAGACTCGTGGTTCACAAGCCATGCCAAAATCATCTTCCATTTAATTTTCACAATGCAACTTACTGGACCTGTAATGAATATTCAGCAAGCTTGTTTTGGTTTTCTTACTGGATTATCATTATTATTACCGTTAAATGTGATAATAAATCTACAAGTGTACTTTTTTTTTCTTTTTTAAGGCTGTGCTTCTAAATGTGGAGCTGGTAATTTTTGTAATTCTGTAAATGGTGAATGTTGTGATGGCTACTGTATTGGAGGTTGTACGGGACCGAGTAAAGCTGACTGCTTAGCCTGTAAAGAAGTACTGTATAAAAATCAGTGTGAACCACGTTGTGGACCAGGAACATATAAGGTGTGTATGAACTTAATTTCATTTTAAACTAAATAGTATTAAACATAAAAAGGTTGGTATCGCTTGATTACCTAGCTGTAGGTACATGTAATACATTTAGTATCATTTACTGGTACATGTGATCGTAGCCTTCAGACCATGGTTTATGTTCAGTTTCAGTACATTTTATTTTATGTGAAATTTGCCATTATTAGGGATCATTTAATTTATCTAATGTTTAAATTATGATTTCCTGACATTTATAACAGAGTTGTGGGAATCTAGACATAATACAATTTTTTAGGCCTGTTAAGCTATACATGTATAATCTAGATTGTAAACTGTAACAATCTAGTTAACCCTTGTACATGTACATGTACTGGTATTCAGTTGCTGTAACCGACATGTACAGCTGTATGCATGTACATGTATACGATCATCCACGTTCACTGATATATGTTTTGTTATTCCACATTCCTCCACTTTCAAAATTTAAGGATACAAAATTTAAGTTACATCTTTCTGCAAGATAAATCTGATACCATAATTATATTTTTTTTCTTGTCTACAGTACATGGAAAGACGTTGTTTAGAAGATAAACAGTGTATCAATATGGAAAGACGTATTGGCAAAGAAGAATGGAAAATTCTTCGCCGTCAAGCAGGACAAGAAGGAGAATGTGTAGAAGAATGTCCAAAAGGTTTTACTAAAAATGATTCTAGTGGAATTAGTGAATGTTCCAGATGTTCTGCCCATTGTCCAAAAGGTACGTGATTCTACTGTATGTATGAGCAAATGGATTAAGATGAAGTATTTAATATAAATAAACGAATCATTAGGGAATTAAAATAATTACTAAACAACCAAACTTTTGCTTATAGTTTATAGACTCGATTTACCAGATTGTCAATAATCATTGTCCTTACGATATTTAAATGATACAAACATAATGGCTTAGGTGTTATTTAGTGAATAATCTAGACTAGATGATTAAAATGAAAATCGTAGGTTATATGCCATTATGTCATCAATGTTCAGACAATCTCATAGACAAACAATTTAAGATAAAAACGGATTTAACATCCAACTGTTCTGCACCAACTGGGTTAATGCAGTGTACTATGAGGGATATTTTGCCCAGACGTCAATGTTTCTGTTGACTCCATCTATCAAGGGTTCTGTTACAAGCATGCCAATGAGTACATGGATGGACCTCAGTTGTCCTTTGGCAGGTGCGTCATCATGCTGCACCACTGAAGCTGGCAAACCAGTCTGAGAAATCCTTTGGAACTTCTAAGCCAACAAGTGCCTTGGATAAAACGTGGGACCTCCGGATTAGTGAGCAATCACCGTACTTACTGAGCCACTGTGGTTCGCTATAGATGAACAATATGGCGACATGTTGTCTTTGGGTACTATGGATGACTGTAACTGTCATCTGTCCAAGTAGATAATCAGTACTACAATGATTTAGCACCAACATATTTGTGTGAATGTAGAGGAGTTCTTTTTTCTCACATTGGGGAATGTTATTACTTTTTTACATTTACATGCAATATTTATCTTTTCTTATGAAGGGGGGTTGGATGGCTAAATGGTTAGCGTGCGCGCGCTGTATCATAAAGTCTGTCATTGAGTCGACTGGCGTGGTTTCGAATCCCCTGTTGTACGTGACAAGGAGTAGGGTCGCCTGTCCAACCTCGTGGGTTTTCTCCGGGTCCTCCGGTTTCCTCCCACTGCTAAAGACCCCTATGCGCAAGCGAATTATTGAAATAAAATAAAACCATATGTTAGTCCCGAAATGACCTAGTTTGTGTCGAGTGGACGTTAAACCCCATTTCTCTCTCTCTCTCTCTTTTTTCTAATGAAATTTGTAAAGACCAAGAAATAAATAATGTTTTTGTATTTTTTTTTTAGTGTGTACAGGCCGTGTAATTGACAGCATTGATTCAGCTCAAACATTAAAGGGCTGTACTACGATAACTGGACCACTAGAGATAGAAGTTGATGGCGGAAGTAAGTTCCAAGTTTTTATTATATTTATAGTCACACATACCCTTACTATTTTCTTTAAACATACATTATGCAAGAGCTAAATCTGCCGATTTCACGTCTTTCTTTATGCCTGAAATCTTCTCTAAATTATTAATTAGACATTAATTAACTTATCCAGGCCATAATCAATCTCTCGATGTCATCGCTAGCCTACTACGATAATTATTGGATTAGGATCCGAATTGCTGCTCAACTTTCATTCATGATTTAATCATGAAATGGATAATCGAGACTTATGTTTTTTATCGTACCGACTTTAGTAACGGTGATCGAGGCTAGGCAGAAAATTCAATTGCTAAATTCTCGGTTCAAAGTGGATCAATTTCACTAAAAAATTTAACATATTCCCTTTACATTATCTATTTTTTTTACTATTATAGTGAGAACTGCCAGCTCTTTATCTAATCTCGCATAATGTATCTTTAATTTAGAATGAGAACTACTGACATTAATAACAATATTAAGGACAAAAGTTCATACAGATGTCATCCTTGTTTAAGAAAATTATGCAAATATGTGAGACTATGTCAATGTGTACAAATCAAGAAATAACCAGTAAAGACATAAAATCATTTAAGATTAGACAACTCTGTCAACTGTGCCAGTACTTATGTTGTTTATTGTTTAAGGGCGTTGCCATGTCTTAAGATTCGCACTAACTTTTCAAACTATTTCTCTGTGATATTTTAGTACCTCTCTCCTTTTCCCTTAAAAACACAAATCGTCAACAGAAAGAAACGTTCACTGCGCCGGATGGGTCAGGATTGTTGGTGAAAGGGAGGGAATCCCTGACCTTGGTTGATCGAAAAATAGTATCCGAATTTGTTTTGAACGTTTCGATTAGTATAGTAGCTCGTCTTTCTTTGTTTCTCCATAGAAATATGCTTCTGTAGCCTGGTTTTGGTCATTTCTGATACACAGAAACTAGAGTAGGGGGAATTCATTCGATCTCGAATAACTAGTCTTTTTGACAGGTGCCAATAACGAAAAAATGGCTCCATTCATTTTCTTTGTTTTGTGGGACAAAGATCTCATATTATTTTCATAAACTACACAGACAGGAGCGGCAAAGTCTACTCATCGCTAATTCATGATATTTTGTCCAATTTTATACAAATAGTATTATTTATTACACGAATACATCACAATTCGAAAGGACCTTTTTTTTGTAACCAATGAAAACGTTGAAAAAATACAAGTTCTACTCAACCGATTTTAACAAACTTGGCATCAATTTGATGGGACCAATTGAGATTATATGAAATAGATTTTATTTCAGACCAGTTTACATAACGACCTATGAATTTTTTTTGATTTTCTGGAATTTTGGCATTATTATTGGCACCATGAAAAAACACTCCCGTAATTTTATTAAACACTAGCTTAGCTATTTGCATGCCAAAAATTATTTAATTCGGATCAGGCAAGACTGAGAAAATTGGGTATTTTTAAGCCAATTTCAAAATTTAATATCTCTAAATCAAGAAAAGATATGTGCCCAAACTATGACTTAAATCACAGCTTCAGATGTCTATTTAACGATCATACTAAATTTATGTGGAACAGAGTTTAAAAAATAATATAAAATTAATTGTAAAGTTACCATAGGTTAGACATGGCAACGCCCTTAACATGTAAAACCTGTAGAATGCAATATGTAGGCCAAATCATTACTCAGTTCAGCACTAGGCAAAAATAAAATAAGAATAAGGTAATATAAAGTTTAAAAAACCTGGCCACACCCCTTCATTAATCCCCCCATTTTAATATGCCTGGTCATAATTTCGTGCGTTCCATGTACAAAGAATTCCTGATAAAAATCAGAAAAAATTAAACATGCCATAGCAGAAAGTCTGTGAATGCATAGACTTGATTCAGTTTGGCCTTACGGTTTAAATGAGTTAAATTCAGGGGGTTTCAAAATCATTCATAATCATGCATAATTTTCCTTACTTGTAAAATTTTACCTTTATTATAAGCTACTTTTCATGTTTCGTATCATAAGTCAATGACTTCATCATTCCTATGATGTCAGAACTTCCTACAATGTCATAACTGACTTCTAATCATTTTGTATTTAATTCTTCAGCTAAACGATGTTTTTTTTTATTTTGATTTTGTATTCTATTAATTATTGTATATTAACACATGGAACTGTAGTCGTATATTGCCATTGCCTCTGTCCGTCGTCCACAATTTCTTGTGGACACTCTACAGACTACATTTATTATCTGATCAGTTTGAAATTTATTTATGCATTGTTTACATTAGTTAGACACAGAAGCCTATTAATTATTTAATTTCAACAATTTTTGTTAATTACTTCTAGAGTTATGGTTCTTGTTTTACTTTGTTGAAACTTCAGAATGCTCTAACGACTAAAATTATCATCTGATCTGCATTAAATTTACATGTACAATTTAAATTAGTAATATGAAGAATCATATTGAATTTCAACAATTTCCTATGATAACTTCTAGAGTTATGGCCCTCGTTGAACCTTGTGAATTAGATAAGAGAAAACGAAAAAAAATAGAAAAAGTCTGTGCATCACCAAGTATAGAATGAATAAAAACAAGGGAATGTACAGACTATTTCTATTTTTCTTGTTTTCTCTTATCTAGTGACATTCAATTACTTTTTTGAATTGTCTGATACTGTATCCTCTCACAGTCTCACATAACAACTTTTAGTCCTCAAAGGCGAAATTCGCCTGTGTATCTATTATCACTCATCACTTCAGTCAGCTACATGTATATAGAAGGATAACACATGTTTTCCTTTTTTCACTTCCGTTTCTTGAAATCTTCATTACGCATCTATTGTAGCAATGATCTCTGTGTTTGGATCGTGTTTAACCAATTCTATCACATGTGATAATGACCAACACCAATAGTGTCCTTTAAATCCAGAAGAAAGCTCTTTGTGTAAAATCAAAACTTAAAATATATTTTATCTCCAAAAGATCGCATTTTCTTTCGATATTGGCATGTATCACACCGTAACTTCATGGATTTAATGGCCCCTGATTGTTTGAAAAATCACTTTTTTAGCTTGGGATTCTCTAAAAGTCACAATTTTTATCCTATTTTGATGAAACTGAAAATGTATGCTTATATCCCAAAGATCTTGATTCCTTTCGAACTTCGAACATATCTGACACAAACTTCTTTATTGGGGCTCCTGATTGTAAAAAAATCTTGTTTTTACCTTGTGGTCCCTCCAGAGGTCACTATTTTTATCCAATTCAAAAAAACATTCGACTATATCACAGTTACACCATATTAATGGTTGAGTTCAAATTTCGTGAAAATCGTACTGAAACTGCTTGACAAAATGTGCCGCTCCCTGTACGCAAATAGTGTTAAAGTATGTAATATCAAGGTTGTGGACCCTCTAGAGGTCACAACTTTCATCCGATTTATATCCCAGATTTTGGTTCATTTCGATATTCATGCGTATCAGACTGTAACTTCCTGGATTATGGCCCATGATTATACAAAAAATTATGGGTTTTTTTTAGCTTGTCTGTCCATCCCTTACAAAATGTTGGTGTATTTTGCATGGCAACTGCTTTTCTAGCTTGTGAACCCTCTAGAGATCACAATTTTTATCCAATTTTAAAAAAGCGTTCGCATATATCACTGTTGGGAGATAAACTTATATTTCAAGTTTCGGCAAAATCGGATAAAAATTATGACCTGTAGAGTGTTCAGAAACAAATTGTGGACAGACAGGGGAAGAACAATATACGTCCACGCTATAATGTGGGCATTTAAAAATGGAATTACAGGAAAAGTTGATAAATCAAATGTGTAGTAATAAATCAGCTTATCCACCTACATTAAATGTTACTGTCAAATTGCATTGAATGAAGACAGATCATTTCTGCTATTATTTTCTTTTCATTGTAAAACGCAGAATAGTAGAACCTTGAACCCGATTTCATATTATTTTTATGGTTCTGTTTATTGTAGCTGTTGGACATATTCCTGAAGCAATGGCCTGAGAAATCCCTCTCTGGCCATTGCTGGATTGACTTCTGATACTTGAACTTTTGAGGGACTGTGTCTATTCTTCCTGTTTATTTAAATCTCTCCTAAGTACAGCAACATGACAGCCCTTCGTTTAATCTGGGTTCTTCCCTAAAACATAGGACAGTGATTTAAGATATTAAAAACAGTATTGTTCGTCTCCAAACAGTATTGTTTACATTGTAGATTGTAGCCATTTTGATAGCCTCACACAATCAGTTTTTCTGCAATATTCTACTATGCACTGGTTAATTGGGCGCAATAAATTTTGTGAGTCATGATGTATTGTTATGTAAACAAAATTTGGAGCTCTGTTTAAACCTGAATGATATTGTTACGCAGTTACAGGTATTGGTTGTTAATTGGACTATTGATCAGTCATAATTTGAGAAAGAAATTTGTGCTGAATATAGCAGTGCTTGAGTGGGATTAAGTCTAATCAAACAAAACACTGCGAGGAGTATGCTGTTGGATGGCTTTTGAAAACATTTTAACGAATTAAAGGTTCACACTTAACAGAAAACTCTTTTAAAACATATCTAATGGATTGAAAATGAGTTGAAAATAGAAGTATCGTTTTTATACGCCCACATTGAAATGTGGTCGTATATTGTTGTCGCCCCCGTCTGTCCGTCCGGCCGGCGCTCTATAGGCTAAAGTTAATATCCGATTGACTTTAAATTTATACACAGTGTTAAGGGTCGTGAGACGAAGAAGCCTATTGATTTTCAGCGATTTTCGATAATTACTGTCGGAGTTATGGCCCTTGATCACTTCAAAAAATCTTGTGGACGCTCTGGAGGACAAAGTTAATATTCGATTAACTTTAAATTTACACACAGTGTTTAAGGTCATGAAACAAAGAAGCCTATTCATTTTCAGCGATTTCTGATAATTTTTGCCAGAGTTATGGCCCTTGATCACTTTGAAAATTCTTGTGGACGCTCTAGAGGTCAAAGTTAATATCCGATTGACTTTAAATTTATACACAGTGTATAAGGTCATGAGACGAAGAAGCCTATTGATTTTCAACGATTTCCGATAATTACTGCCAGAGTTATGGCCCTTGATCACTTTGAAAAATCTTGTGGATGTGCTAGAGGCTAAAGTGAATATCTGATTGACTTTAAATGTATACATAGTGTTTAAGGTCATGAGACGAAGAAACCTATTGATTTTCAGCGATTTCCAATAATTACTGCCAGAGTTATGGCCCTTGATCACTTTGAAAAATCTTGTGGACGCTCTAGAGGCTAAAGTTAATATCCGATTGACTTTAAATTTATACACAGTGTTTACGGTCATGAGACGAAGAAGCCTATTGATTTTCAGCGATTTCTGATAATTTTTGCCAGAGTTATGGCCCTTGATCACTTTGAAAATTCTTGTGGACGCTCTAAAGGCTAAAGTTAATATCCGATTGACTTTAAATTTATACACAGTGTTTAAGATCTTGAGACGAACAAGTATATTGATTTTCAAGAATCTTTATGACTTGAACAGCTAAAAGTTTTGTATACTAAACGTTAGCATGGGGCAGAAACCAAACAAATTCTAATGGTTTTCTGATAATTACTTAATGAGTGGTTACTCTTAATCAGATTTTAATGTATTTCATTACCGAAAAAAGTACAAATATGTGACAACTCTTGTTGACTGCCCGGACAATATAGCTGCTGTGGGCGTATGTTTCGTTGCCTGGCAACCTATCTTTAATAGAGTTCATTGTATGTTGATTGTTACTTTATTTAGACTGTACATGTACTGATCTTTGGAAATGCAAACTTAGCTCACTGAAAAGTGCATACAAAAGCACTGTGCAACAATGCCAACAATATTAATTTGTTTTACACCAATCAAACTTTTGATCTTTTGGTTTGTGTTTTGAATTAGCTGTATCAAACACCCTGTTCCCTGCCTTCTGCAGAAAATTGGAATTTACAGAAAAGGGTCTGTCCATCTGTCACACCTTTTGGAACACAATGACTGAATGAGCACTTCTACTTGAAGTAGACTGTTCATAATTCAGAGTTGGTGCGGATGTTGTAAGGTATTTGGTGACATGACATTATACACTTTCATTGTTTCGTAAGGTGAATGTCTTGACTGGATTCAATGATTTCCAATGATTACTGCCAGAGTTATGGTTCTTGATCATGTGATAAAATCTTGTGGACGTGCTAGAGGCTAAAGTTAATATAAATTTATACACAGTAATCGATTCTAATGATTTCTGATAATTATTTAATGGGTTGTTACTCATAATCAGATTTTAGTGTTGCAAATGTTTTCATTACTGGCAAAAGTAAAAATATGCGACGGCTCTTGTTGACTGCTCGGACAACTTAGCTGCTGTGGGCGTATGTTTTGTTTCTAGCAACCTATCTTTATGTAAATGTAAAAGTATCTTGTTCTGCCTTTTTAACTTTAAAGCATAATAATAACAATTATTAATTATACACATCAAGACCAGAAACAACAAAACCAAAACAAAATACATCTGACTAGAAAGAATCAATCCAAATATACATACTTCATATCATGATCAGCTCATAATTTTTCAAACATCACAATATCCAAAATTCTTAATTTTTTGTTGATACTCCCAGATATAATTTCCTACATTTAATGTCATTTTTTTAGATCAAAAACAAAAGGGGTTGAGGTAAAGATCCTGACCTTAAAGCATTACTTTTATCACAATTGTATTCACGCTACATGTAGATTATTATAATCCGGATTATTTACTTGGACAAATGACATGAGCAAATTTCACTTAAAAGGCGTCAAACCCCTTTTATTTATGGTAGGTAAAAACAAAGTGCACTTTTTAGTTGATCTAATGTTATATTGATGAGTGATGAAACAAGATCTATACAATTACATTTTTTTTTTTGAAATATAAAAGCTGTAATATTCCTGTCTAAAAGATAAATATATATACCATACTTTCAGACCATACATAACAAATAAAATAATTTATCCTTGTTTACTTACATTAAGATGTATTTCAACATACTCCCACTTTAAGCTGCAGCATGATTACATACATAAATACTATGTGCCTAAAGATACAAATTTTAATTATATTTATGCTATTCAGGCACATGGCTCTAACTTAGTGTAAGCAAGACTTTAGACATTTAATGAAAGCTTTATTGACTTATTGTGTTGTTATTACAGGTCATATTGTTATGGAGCTAGAAGAGAGCTTAGGATATGTTGAGGAAGTTACCCATTACATTAAAGTCACAAGATCCTATCCAATTCTCTCTCTTCATTTCTTTAAAAATTTAAAGGTCATCCGAGGCGAGAAACTAGATCAGTCACAGTAAGACGATATATTTTTTGAATGATAGTCTGTGTGTGTAGGAGTAACTTAATATTTACGTGAAAGAATTTTTGATCAATAATGAGGCTGTTTAGGTCATGATGATTGATTGGAGTTAAACCATTCAACACAAGTCAACTTGTCCGCAGAAATCATCAGAAAAAGAAGTATAAATGGAACTCAGATATTTGTTTTATTTTAATTAAGCTTATTAAAGGAAGGGAAATTACAAGGCAATAATTGAGTCTCCAAAGGTTTTATGATAATATCTTTGTCTCTTAAAAAATACAGTAAGCTTACAAAATATAAATTAGCCCTTGGTGGTATATGCAATATACTTGACCCACCACCCAAAAATGAAGTTTAAGTTTTTAAATTGTGTATTAAAAATAGACAGGCAGTTCAGTGTAGACATCAAATAGGTGTCCTAAAAGTTTTTTTTTTTTATAAATATGGTTTTTCAGTTTAAGTTAAATTGGGAATAAAGTTTAAAATCAATACAAAGTAGATGTCACCAAATACTTATTCATAATTGGACATTAAAACTCTATTCTATAGGTAGAATTATCTTTTTGAGAATTGTGAATGATATTTGTAGGTGTCTCCATCTATTGTGTCTATTCAATGACATTTGATTTCAGTACGATAAATTGTTTAGGAAGTAAATTGCACGTATTATAACCATAATATTCGTCTTTTAGGGAATTTTAACCCCCAAGCACTTAGTTCATGTATATATTGTCTATGTGAACAGCCCAAAACTACTGTTCTTCAGACCAGGCAGTCTCAAACTGTCCGAGATGAGTGAATAGCTCTCTGTATCATAGGGCTATTTACTAGTTCTATAGGGAACCACAGATTTTCATGTGACGCAGTTGCTTTGGTGAGGTCTAAGGAACTCTAGTTTGGGCGGTTTCGGGTGGTTCCACTGCTAAAGGGTTAAGTAGAAGTATAAACAAGGATAATTAAATCTTATAGTCTTTCATTGTATTGACTTCCATGTATTGTTTAATCTACTTTCAGCTATAGCTTGAATATATTTGACAATCCAAATCTTCAAGAACTGTTTACACCAGAGGTTTCCAAGAATCTGAAAATTATCAATGGTCAAGCTAAATTTAATTTTAATCGCAAATTGTGTTTTCATAAAATCAAGGAGTTTTTAAAGAATGTTGGATTGTATAAAGAAGGAAGTGAAATGGCTGACGTTGAAAGTACAAATGGTGATTCTATTCCATGTAAGTGTGTCTTATAAATTATAATAAAAATTACTTGATTCAAAATTGGCTATTTCTACCGATAAATATATGATATGATATTTGGCAATGACATTGAACATGACTAAATATTGTGAATGACAATGATATCCTACCTTTTGAAATTATTGCGCAATACAGACAAATGTGTTTTGTCCATTTAATGGATGGAATATGTTGAGATAGGATCATTGATTTTTATGTGGGCAACATTGTTGTACATGTAATTTTCAAGCTTGTTAATGTTAATAGATATTCACAAATACAACTAAACCTAAGACATTAATAGAATCAGTAATAATTGACAATTCCACCAGAGTATTTAAAGATGGATTTATTTTAATACAATATAATATATTTTTTTTTTTATGCCCATGTTAGTTGAATGCTGATTTATTGTTTAAATGCTTTTCAAATATTCTATAAAGTTCAAATGATCAATTTTTTGATGGTATTTAGTACAGTTTTACTAGATTTCAAGAAATTGTGAACCTTTCAAATCAATATAGTTTCCTTTATCCATTGATGTGTTTGTGAAAAAGAATTATATTAATTGATTTCATTGAATTAGTATCATTGTATATCCTGACTCCTTTTTGGAGAGATTAAATGATCAATTTCCATTAGTTTTATTAAATACCAAAAAATGAAAACAGATTTGAGTTGAAAAACTAATGTACTGTATGTATTGCCATGTTTTGATTTTAATTTGTTCAAATAAACTGCTAGAAATTTTAATCTAACTAGATCTGCCAGGCAGATATGAACTTATGAAAGTTTGATATTCACAGTCACTTCCTGTCACAGGTCATGGGTTATATAAACAGTCTCAACAAGAAAAATTAATTATTAAAATCAGTCAAAAATTCACAAAGTTATAAGAGAGAGAAAGAGAAATGGGGTTTAACGTCCACTCGACACAAACTAGGTCATTTCCGGACTAACATGGTTTAATTTTTTTACATAATTCGCTTGCGCGTAGGGGTCTTTAGCAGTGGGAGGAAACCGGAGGACCCGGAGAAAACCCACGAGGCTGGACAGGCGACCCTACTCCTTGCCACGTACAACCGGGGATTCACAAAGTTGTAAGCTTAAATATAGCGAGAAACATTTCACCCGGGCAAACAAATAATCTGAAAAATAAAGGGAAATAACAGAGACTTGTATTGCTATAATCTGATTGACTTCCGGGGATCTCGGTGGCTAAGTGGGTAAGGCGCTGGCTCGCTAGCCTGGAGGTCGGGTGTTCGATCCCTGCATTGGCCGAGAAAGTTCATCCCGATTTTCCGGCGTGGTTCCCCCTTGTCAGTGATGCAGGACGGAGGGCCTGACAAGGACAGCTGTCTAGTCATTCGGATGAGACGAAAAACCGAGGTCCCGTGTACACATTGGCGTGCACGTAAAAGATCCCTTGACAGTTGGAATTCGATATAAGAGTAGGCCGTAGTGCCGCTGTCTGGGCAAAATTTCCCTCATAGCACACTGTATGGCGTATGCCCGTCTTCATTAGCCCAGTTCGGAGCAAAACAGTAGGACGTTAAACCCCATTTCATTTCATTTCATTTCTGATTGACTTCCCATTCCAGAAAAAATGATCAAGCCATTTAAAAACTGGACGGATCAGAAAATGAAATGAAAATGGAGAGTAAGAACTAAAAATACCGGGAAATTATTGAAAAATAAAATGAGATAAATTTAAATGGAACTTATATTTTCGGAGTCAGAATAACTTCAGCTGTTCGAATATTTAGGTCAAATTTGTACATTTTGAAAATTAAGGAAGTAAATTGTCTTGTAAACAACTTTGTCGGCACGAAATAGGTCAAGGCGAAATTCAACCCTGATCCTAGCTATCCAGAAATGGATTTATTTCGGAAATAAGAGACAAATTCTCCAAACCACGGCCTAATGTGTTTTGGGGTTTGTTTTTTTTTCAAAATTCTGCTCTGAACATTTTATAGGCACTCCTTCAAGGATTCAGAAAATATAACTTTGATCCTTTTAAATTTTCTCAAAGGGGAGACAAGTTAGAAAATTTCTAATGACATGGTTGAAGTTGGATCAGCCAAGTTTCATGAAAATCGTGATAATATTAAAGAAGTTGTCAAGTTGGATTTTACTTCCTGGATGAGATGTCAAGGAAGTAATTTATAAAATTTGAAAATTGGAAAGAGCAGATTGAAAGTAAATGTTTCAAGGTACTTAAAGAAAAAAGAATTAGTACAATAGGTCAAAAAGTCACAAAGTTACAGCTAGTAGGTCAACTGTTTTTGTAGGAAAATTCGGCAATTTGGGATTCATAAAACATTTTGAAAATATATTTAAACAGAAAACATCACCCATTCTTGCGGGGTAGGTAAAAGTTACAGAAAGATCCTATGATTATATTCTGTCTGAGATATAAGATTTGCAGGAAAAGAACAAAAAAAAAAAAATAATAATAACTAACAAAAACAATAAGCTTTCATATGAAATATGAAAGCTTAATTATCTGTTCATATACATGTACATACAGACAACTGATTGAAAATAAACCCACAGAAATTCAAAATGTCAGAATCTGTCTATCACCGCATTGTGTACTGTTTGTGCAGCAGACCAAGATTAGGATCTGGGGTAGTTGGACAGATTCTGAAATCACATAAAAAAAAAATATGTTAATCTTAAGAAAAATGACCAGTTAATATGGTTTATATACATGTAGAGCTTCAATAATTTCTGATTCTTCTGTATTTCTAGGCGAAGTTACCAAGATTAATCTGAGTGTTATAAACTTAACCCCAGACTTCGCTCATTTACAGTGGGAGAAGTTTAAAGGACAGGATGAACGGAAATTACTCAGTTATGTTGTTCATTACAGAGAGGTGTAAGTAGGAATTACTGTTTACTGTTAGACAATTATCTGTTGGGATAATGTGTTTTGTAAATAATTTTGTATATAAACTATAAATGGATTGATTCTGGTACCATCTGGAATGAAAGAAGACTTTAAATCCCATTTGTTATTGTGTGATGCCCTTTAAAAAATTTATATCAAATGTCTGGGTTATGTTGTGTTCAGATTTATAAGGACATTAAAGTATTCATTTCATAGATCTATTTAATTTTTTAAACAGTGCAATATTTGATTTATTAATATTTCAAATATGAGAAAAAATAAATAGTAAAAACATGCAGATATAATTTCACTAGCTTTTCAGAAATAAAAAAATTAATGAGGTTTCCTTTATCAAACATAAAACATTTGATTTAGATTCTAATGAACAGATTGATTTTACATCAAATTAAAAAAAAATCGTCTTGGCTATTATGTCCATATTATATGTACTTTTGAAAATTTATGTGGGTGTTTTATATTACAGGAAATCTAAGAATATAAACATATTTCAAGGAAGAGATGCTTGTTCTGAATCTGTGTAAGTAATAATATTATATTGGTATAGTTGGACTGGATTACTAATTACCAATTATATTTTACATTTACAGTGTTGTATAAACAGGATATATATTTCACATAATGACAAATAGAGTAGCTTCCAGTCTGTGATAAAAGAATATTATTATTAAGAATACCGGTATCTAACAGAATATCCAAAACAATTTACTCTGTAGGCTATTGAACATATTAAATTAAAAGGTCATGTTTACTTTTGATTTTTCTGTACTTAATTTTAAAAGAATTTTATAATTTAAATTATGCTAATAAGTTTGATTGGTATTTTGTTTAAAAAGTTACCCCTCCATTATTCAATGCTATTTGCAGGTGAACCCTACTTGCCACTCTCAATGAAATTTGCTTCATATCCTTTAAAGCTACCAAGTCATGCTGCTTGTTATAGAAAAGCTAAGTTAAATAAGGGTTTAGAATTTATGTGAGGTCTCCTCTTTATGCTTACTTCTCCAACATGTTGCTTTGTTAGAACCAGGTAATCTAGATCAGAAACGACCAAAGTCTTTTATTAATCATTATGCTTGACATTTGGTTGAGAACTTCTCAATTTCTAGGCATATTGCATGATAGATTCATAGTTTAGTATATGATTTAGTCTTTCCTGGTGCATGTGCTTTTTAATGCTCTGTTTATTTTTTTTATTCAGATGGAAGACAAAAGAAGTGGAAGCAGAAAAGAGCGGTCCTCCGCAGGAAGTCTTGACCAATCTAACACCCTGGACTCTGTATGCTGCCTACATTCAAACCTATACAATTGGAGGTGCTAGCAAAACTGCTATATCAAACGTCACCTACTTCAGAACACTGGCAACAAGTATGTCCATTTTATTTTTATAAGTATTAAACTGCTACATAAATATATCAGTAAATTGCACTGTACAAACCTCAGAACGTTTTTGGCGTCCATATGTCAAAATAAGTATAAAGGGAGTATTTTTCTATATAATAAATGTTTTTATGTAGCAAGAATATATTTTTTAAACTGCTTTAAGCAATAGAAACAAACTTGAAACTACATATTTTTATGAAAATGAAGGAAATTCGAAAATGTATATTGCTGTCTCTGCTGTCCGCCATCCACAATTTCTTGTGAACACTCTACAGTAATTCGGGCCTTGATGATATTTTTTAAAAACTTGATGGGATTGTTCATCTAGAACATAATCCAATTTTAAAATTTTGAACTGTAACATAGGATACTTAAGTACTCTTGTCTCCCATATCATGGACAGCTCAAATAAATAAAGCCGGTGGAGGCCCCATTTTGGTTGTGTGGTCTTATATTGTCTACCAATACCACATTTATCATCCGTATGATTTTATAACAGAATGTTGCAGCAGATTAATTAGAACTTTATATTTTACACGGATACTGGAATATGATTGATATGTCAGATATATTAATTTGTACAAAACTGTCTTTCAGATCCAACGGGTCCAGTCAATTTACAAGTCGATGCTGAAATTGAGGGAGAGCTGCATGTTAGATGGAAACCACCAAAATTTCCAAATGGCAATGTAACATTTTACAAGGTGTACTGGCAACGGCAGATGCTGAAAAGAGAAGAATTCGATAAGAGAGATTATTGTAAAGAACGTAAGAAAAGATTTATATGTCTAATATTGCTGAATTGATACTGTATATAACTTAGGCAACACAAATAAAATAACTTGTTTCTCGGGCACCGCCCGCACGCAAAATTGGTTGCGCGTGCAGTCTATTTATTAGTCTTGATGAAAAAAAATAAATATGTAACGCCCGCCCGCACATCGACAAGCAAGTCGTAAAAAAAATATCCCGCATGTACCTACATCCGCCATACATGTATATCTATTCAAATGTATTAAAACTGATTCAGATGAACATGCTGTCTTTTTTATCCGAACAATGGCGAAGTTTGGCAGATTTGCCTTTTTTATTGATATCGAAAGAACCTCCATTTTGTATCACGTGATATTAATTACCTCCCCTGATAAACTAGAATTTGATTCGTGTTAAAAGTCATTGGCAACAATATTTCAATCATTCGATCGTAATCGGCTCATTATTGCCGGCTTCAGTCGGTCCTTTTGATAAAATAATGAACCGTAGAACAGGTTAATTAATTATAGCTAAGAATACGATACGATGACGATAGTCGTCATAATGCATACCTTAGAATCTGGGTCATTATTAGCACATTTACGGTAGTTTCGATAATCCGGAAAATAATAATTGGATTACCGATTTGATGGTTTTACTGACCAGTTGTTAGTTAGATTTAAATAGTCATTCAATATAAACACCGGATAGAACACCGAATATCCTGAGAAACACACCGAATATCCCAAGAAACAGTATTTCCGGCAATCTCCAATACCGATGACACGGTGTGACATGCATTGGTTGGAATTCGGTAAATAATTATAAATAAACCGGCGATACTAGATTTAGTTTTAAATACTGTTTACCATGATTATTATTTTTGATACACCTGGTGAAAGAGGCTTAGTTTTTAAAAATATTGTTGTCTTTATGGAGGGCTATTACATAGTCGTATGGAATTTTATTTTAAACCAATTTCAATTATGTGAATTAAATATGGAAAATTATTTTCCTTTCAGTCAGTGTTCAGTCTCAGTGTTTTAGTAGACTTGATTTTGGGTTTATGTTTTAAGTATGTACAATAAAGTTGAATATAACGGAAAGCAAAAACGTAAACAAGTAATGACTTTCTCATTTAAAAAAAAAAAAAAAAAAAAAAGAAAGACCGCCCTCCCGCCCCAACAATTTTCAGCAATAGCCAAATTTTATTTTGCACCATCAATGAGTAAAAAAAAAAAAGAAACCGCCCTCCCTCCCTACAGTTTCAGCTGTCAGTTGCCCGAGAAACAAGACATTTATTTTGTGTGGCCTTAGCTAGACTTAATGGTTACAATGACTTAATGGTTACAATGAATGTTATTTAATGTATTTAGATGAGTTTTCTAACTCTTTTACCAATGTGTCTATAGCCGAGTTGTAGCTGAGTTAACTTTTATTCCAATCATCATGATTAAGTTCTTGTAGTGCCAAGTCTCATGGTTTTGTTTTGTGGTGTAAGGGGAGACAACAGTGGTAAATGAAGAGTTATTTCCCTTACAAAATAAAACCATTTCTTGACTGCCCTGTGGAATATTTTTTACCAATACATATTAAAAAAAATATATATTTTTCTTTGGAGTTTGAATACATTTTCCAATTAATGAAATATTATATTTTTATACGCCCACATTTTCATGTGGACGTATATTGTCGTCGCCCCTGTCCGGCCGTCCGGCCACAATTTGTTTGTGGACTCTCTACAGGTTACAATTCTTGTCCGATTTTGACGAAACTTGAAATATAGGTTTGTCCCCAAAAGATCTCGGCTGCTTTCGATATTGGCGTGTATCAGATCGAAACTTCATGGATTATGGCCCCTGTTTGTACGAAAAATCACGTTTTTAGCTTGTGGACCCTATAGAGGTCACAATTTTTATCCGATTTTGTTGATACTTGACATGTAAGTTTATAACCCAAAGATCTCAGTTTCTTTCGATATTCGTGCATATCGGACCATAACTTCCTGAATTATGGCCCCTGATTATACGAAAAATCGCGTTTTTAGCTTGTGGACCCTATAGAGGTCATAATTTTTATCTGATTTAAAAAAACGTATGGCTCCTTTCGATATTGTCGCATATTGGATCGTAACTTCCTGAATTATGGCCCCTGATTATACGAAAAATCGTATTTTTAGCTTGTGGACCTTATATAGGTCATAATTTTTATCTGATTTAAAAAAAACGTATTATTATATCACCGTTACACCCTAAAGAAGGTTGAGTTCGAATTTGGGGAAAATCGGACCAAAATTGCCGGACAAAATGGCCGCCGTTTGTACACGAATAGTGTAAAAATAGGGTAAATCAAGGTTGTGGACCCTGTATGGGTCACAATTTTAATTCGATTGTGATGTAACTTGAAATGCATGTTTGTAACCTAAAGATCTTGGTTCCTAACGATATTGTCGCATATCGGATCGTAATTTCCTGAATTATGGCCCCTGATTATACGAAAAATCACGTTTTTAGCTTGTGGACCCTATATAGGTCATAATTTTTATCCAATTTAAAAAAACGTATTATTATATCACCGTTACATCCTAAGGAAGGTTGAGTTCAAATTTGGGGAAAATCGGACCAAAATTGCCGGACAAAATGGCCGCCGTTTGTACGCGAATAGTGTAAAAATATGGTATATGTCAAGGTTGTGGACCCCGTATGGGTCTCAATTTTAATTCGATTTTGATGAAACTTGAAAAGCATGTTTATAACCTAAAGATCTTGGTTCCTTTCGATATTGTCGCATATCGGATCATAACTTCCTGAATTATAGCCCCTGATTGTACGCAGAATCGTCTTTTTTAGCTTGTGGTCCCTCTGGAGGTCACAATTATTATCCGATTTAAAAAAAACGTTTAATTATATCACCGTTACACCGTATTGAAGGTTGAGTTCGAATTTCGTGAAAATCAGACCAAAATTGCCGGACAAAATGGCCTCCGCTTGTACACGAATAGTGTAAAAATATGGTATATGTCAAGGTTGTGGACCCTGTAGAGGTCACAATTTTAATTCGATTTTGATGAAACTTGAAATGCATGTTTATAACCTAAAGATCTTGGTTCCTTTCGATATTGTCGCATATCGGATCGTAACTTCATGAATTATGGCCCCTGATTATACGAAAAATCGCCCCTTTTAGCTTGTGGTCCCTTGAAGGTCACAGTTATTATCTGATTGTAAAAATCATTTGAATATATCACCGTAACACCATAAGAAAGGTTGAGTTCAAATTTCCTGAAAATCAAACCAAAACTGCCGGACAAAGTGGCCGCCGCTTGTACGCGAAAGGTGTAAAAATATGGTATATCAAGGTTGTGGACCCTTTAGAGGTTACAATTTTAATCCGATTTTGATGAAACTTGAAATGCATGTTTATAACCCAAAGATCTTGGTTCCTTTCGATATTTGCGCATATTGAATTGTAACTTCATGAATTATGGCCCTTGATTGTAGGAAAAATCACTTTCTTTTTAGCTTGTTCTCTATCCATCTCTCAAAAATGTGGGCGTATCCTGCCTGGCAACTGCTGGTTTAGTTTGCAGTTGACTTAATATATAGTCTGCTTAGATAATTTGATAAAATATAATCTTTTCTAGTCTTCAGTATAGTCTGGGCCCTGGGGTTAGCTACTGTTTTAGTGATAAATGTTTCATCCATATTTTTTTTCCAGCTTTAGACATTGATGATGATAAGAAAGTTAGTAGAGCTAATGCTGAAGAACCAAAGAAGAATATAACACTACCGACCGGTGATCAGTGTTGTCGATGTCCAAAATCTCGTAAAGAATTAGAGGAAGAAGAAAGAATTCGATTGAATGAAATTGCCTTTGAAAATGCATTACATGATACAGTTTATCAGAAAAGGTTTGCTTAATGAATTACTGTATAAACACTCCCATAACTAAGATAAGTGTTGAAAATGTTCTATTGCCATCTGTTTGTTATTATATAAGGCTTAACGCCTGCTTCCATCGAGGGTGATATCGCAGACAAAAGTTTCCTAAGAATCTTGCCAGAAGAGCCGGTATTGATTGAGAGGCTAGTCCGGTATAGAGTGCAAGTGGGAGGGCAAGAAAGGAAATGAAATGAAATGGGGTTTAACATCTTATTGTTCTGCTCCAGTCCAACTGGGGAAATTTTTGCCTCCATCACTTTGATTAAAGATGCTTTTTGAGATACTGTGTCTAATGGACCATTCTTACTCCAATTTAGAGGCATAACTCCTCGGAACTAATATTAAAAATAGAATCCTTATTCAGGACCATTGAATGATGGCTTGGAGGTGCTAGAGAATTGATATATGTTAAGGTTTTTCACTGGCTGGTAGTAGGACTACAGGCCCAACTGCCAATCAGTTACCACACCGTACTTTACTTGTATTTAAATCATTGATAGCAAGAGTATCTATAGAATGGTTGTAAATATTCAGATTTCTGGGAATAAATTCTATATAAATTTATTCCCCATTTTAGACCTTCAAGTGAGATCCGTAAAAAACGTGAAGTACCAACACAAGCAGATATTGAAAATGGTAAAGAGAAGTATATGAAATATGATGTGCGTGATGGTACCCAAGTATTAGATAAAATGGTTTTAAATGGTACCAATAATACTAATCCAGATAATGAAACTATAGAAAATGAAAGGAAGGAGATTATTGTACGTTATGCTACTGAAGTCATTTTGCCAAATCTGGGTCATTCTCAACCATATTATGTAGAGGTAATATCAATTCATATACTTAAAAGCCACATCGTCATTTGACGGATTTTAAATCCATTGCAATCAACAATGTTGTGAAAAATGATTTTCTAAAAGAGATACCAGTCCCAAATTGTTCGCAAAGATTTTTTTTCAACATTTGGCATTCTTTAGAATGTTTAATAAAGTCAATATGGGTACACTTTAGCGAGGATTAAGCTGTAAAAAATGAGATATTTACATACCAGAAATACAGGACATGTTCACATAAGACAAATAATTGAAGAACATAGCACAATTAGATACATATTTCTATACAACTGTGCAATGGCAGTCAGTGTCTATCATTCAACAAATTACAAAACTAAAATGGAGAAATAAAAACATTAAATCTATCTGATTAATTTGTTTTCGTTGGTTTATGAACTTGTCTAAACACCTTTGTAGAATATTTTCACAAGGAAAACAAGTCTATCTTAAAAACTCATAATGGCATTACAAATACACTGGTATGACGTGTCCACAAATGTACGCATACCCAACCTGTACCCTATATATTATTTTAGTGATGGTCCAATATGGCTACTATCAGTTTTACCGATACAAGATATTGACAGCGAAAAATAGTGTTGGATATAAATCTATTACACATTAAAATGCTCTGAATGTCATGATAATCAATGTCATTGTTAGTCTGGAAAAGCCTGTTACTAATTTACCTTGGGAATCAAACCTAACGTGATGCTTTTTGAAAGAATAATTGGGTCACGCTTCCTATGCAGTCAAAAATACACACCATTTATTATGAACTTAATTATTTACTGTATGATGAATTAATAAAGTCGAGGTTATCATTCTATTGCAATATAATTCACTAAACTGATCGGCAAGACGGCAACCTGTATGTCTATAATAGATGTCAGAATGATTTATGTGATAATGATACAACATCAAAGCGATAGCTTCCCATCCGTCACGTGACATTCTCCCACCATTTTTATAGGGTAGAAAATCAACCATCTATTTGGAACTTAACTTATGTGTTTGTAATATTATGAATTAATAAAGTATGACGTATATTATGAGTTACATGTATTAAATGTTGAGTATTGACCGATACCGATTTCTACCGATAGGCCACTTATCGACCAATTACCGATGTTTAAACCAATTATTGGACCATCACTAATAGATATATATATATATATATATATATATATATATATATATATATATATATATATATATTTTACTGTTACAGATATTAGCTTGTCTTGATGAAAAGAAAAATGGTCAAGATATGTGTACAGATATAGGTAATAGTGCAATAGCCAATGCCAGAACCCTGCCTTCACGTAAGTTAACTCTTAGATTGTCATTTTATTTTTATGTACACTGATTTATTGTGGACCTATATTATCATCATCACAGTTTAGTGCACACACTAGATTTGTTTTAATATTTACAGAAACACAAACACAATTCAGAATTTGTTTAGATGAAAAATAGTAGAGTAGTAGTGGATGCCTTGGTGTCTACCGTTGATATGATGTTTTATATTCATGAGATCTCCAACAAGTGCAAATTTGGTTTAGTTACAGAGTTATTGCACTTGACTTGAAAATACATCAAAAGTAGTCAATGAAGACATTAGATACTACATTTGTCGTTTTGATTTTGATGTGACATTGTGTGAATAAGTGGTCTTGTCCTTGTTTAGCAGTTGTCATTTCCCAAACCTTGCTTACCTGGATATTTTGGCATGCATTTTAGATCTGGAACAGGCGGCTTTGCTGCTGATAAGCCACCATTTATGGTCAGTTTTACTTGATCACACTTGGTTATTGTATAAAGAAAATTGTAACCGTTTGAAAACACAAGTGAAAATATTACCGGGCAACCATCTTGTTTCTCCATTGACAGATATTAATAAGATTGTTCTGAAAACAATGTTTCATTTACTGGTTTATGTACTGCTAAATAATGTGGACGTATATTGTTGTCACCCCTGTTCGTCTGTTCACATTTTGTTTGTGGACACTCTATAGGTCACAAGTTTTATCAGATTTTGACGAAACTTGAAATATAGGTTTATCTCCCAAAGATCTTGGTTCCTTTCGATATGTGCACATTTTGAACCATAACTTCCAGAATTGTACAGAAAATCACATTTTTAGCTTGTGGCCACTCTTAGAGGTCCCAATTTTTACTCAGTTTTACTGAAACTTGTAATGTATGTTTATAACCTAAAGATCATGATTCGTTTTGATATTCGCACACATCGAACTGTAACTTCTTGGATGATGGCCCCTGATTGTATGAAAAAGTTGCGATTTTAGCTCGTGGACCCTTTAGAGGTCACAATTTTTGTTCCGATTTTAAAAATCGTTTAAATATATCATCATTACACCCCGATGATGGTTGAGTTCAAATTTCGTAAAAATTGGAATGTAACTGCCGAACAAACGTATGTTATTGTTAAAGTATATAATACCAAGCTTGTGTACCCACTACATAGTACATGTCACAATCTTTGTCCAATTTTGATGAAACTTAAATATATGTTTATATACCAAAGATCTTGGTTCCTTTCGTTATTTGTGTAGATCAAACTATAACTTCCTGAATTTTGGCCCCTGATTATACGAAAAATCACATTTTTAGCTTGTGGATCTTCTAGAATCTAGAGGTCACAATTTTTATCCAATTTTAAAAACTGTTTAAATACATCACCTTTACACCATAATGAAAGCTGAGTTCAAATAGAAAAGAACCTGCCGACAAAATGGCAGCTCTTTGTACACAGATTTTGTAAAAGTATGTTATACGATGGTTGTGGACCCACTAGAGGTCACAATCTTTGTCTGATTTTGATGAAACTTAAAATATATCTTTAGATCCCAAAGAACTCCCTTTAGATATTCGCACATTTCAGACCTTAACTTCCTGGATTGTGACCCCTGATTTTACGAAAAATCATGTTTATGTTTTAGCTTGTTGTCTGTCCATCTCTTGCAAAATGTGGGCGTATCTTGCATGGCAACTGCTTGTTTAATATATTGACTAATTTATGCAGCAGAAATTTCCTGGATTCCAAAGTTGAAGTTTAATTCAGTGTTTTTTGTATATATTGTATGTATAATCCTTATGATTGTTTATTTGTATTTGTAGCTACTGCTGATACTATAAATAGTACATCTATAACTAGTCGTAATATCAATAAAACAGTTGTATTCATAAACTGGGAATCACCTGTAGCACCTAATGGATTAATTATCACGTTCGAAGTAGAATATCAGAAAATAAGCATGAATGATGTAAGTAAAATAACTATTGTTAATGAATGCAAAAACAGTTCTCTCCCTTTTGATGGTTACCGATATGTGCAAAAATCATTGTTCCGACTTAGTGTGGGGATCACGTGGATAAGACGCTGACTCGCTAGCCTGGAGGTCGGGTGTTCGATCCCTGCATTGGCCAAGAAAGTTCATCCAGATTTTCCGGCGTGGTTCCCCCTTGTCAGTGATGCAGGACGGAGGACCTGACAAGGACAGCTGTCTAGTCCTTCGGATAAGACAAAAAACCGAGGTCCGGTGTATACTTTGGAATGCACGTAAAAGATCCCTTGACAGTTGGAATTCGATATAAGAGTAGGTGATAGTGCTGCTGCCCGGGCAAAATTTCCCTCATAGCACACTGTATGGCGTATGCCCGTCTTCATTAGCCCAGTATAGGAGCAGAACAGTAGGACATTAAACCCCATTTCATTTCATTTCATTTCCGACTTAGTGTAGATGTTCATTAGGATAATACCTTGACTGAATTCCAGTGATGAACATTTTCTTCTTGGGCTAAAAGCAGTTTGATTAGTTGATGCTTTGGAGCATGAAAAGTGAATGAGATTGATGAAACTTGGTGTATTAACTGATTGTTGACTTTATTTTTAGGAATATCGTACAAGACTGTGTATTAATTATACTAAATACAGAGCCTATAAAGGTTATAAACTAGAGAAACTGAGTCCTGGTAATTACTCCTATCAAATACGAGCTACTTCATTAGCTGGAAATGGATCATGGACACCAAAGAGATATTTTTTTATTCCATCAACAGGCAGTAAGTATCGCTCACATATTCTTGCAAATATCCAAATTCCTGTTCTTTTTACTAATTTTGTATCCTCTATTTTTTTAAAATATGATGAATTAAAGATATTTCTTCAATCTTAATTAAGGTTGTCTATATATCTGACCCACAAATCTTTTATTTATAGCATATATCTCCATTGACAATAAGCTCAAGATAGTCACAATGACTTAATTTGTTTAAGATATGCAGGTGATTACTACATGTGTAAGAACTGTGTTAATATTAATGTCGGTGAGATATAATATATTTTTATTTTTCTCTACAGTTGTATCATCAATAAGTAAGAGTGTTATAGCGGGTATCTGTGTAGGAGTTTTTATTATACTCATATTAACTATTCTTATTGTCTGGTTTGCTGCCAAAAACAAGTAAGTTATCACAATATATCTATTGTGCATGTACCTGTATTTGCTATTCATGAAAGATTAGATAGTAACTTTTTGCTAGATACAATTACAACTCTTTATTAAACATAGTTTTAATATAATTTTAATGATAATGTTTTATGTTTGTTAATGTAGAATATAAAGATTTATTGGACTTGTAATTTAATCTTAAAAATTTTTTGTAACATGATACAGCAAAGTGTAATTATAATCTCTTGTTTATTTAGATTTGCCAAAGATCCAGAGATGACTATCGTTTCACACAATCCTAATTATCTACCTTCAGAAGATGGTAAGTTACACTGTTGTTATTTAGGTCAAAAATACATACAATATTATAGAATGGAAGGCGTCATTGATCAGCTAGAAGTAAAAAAAAAATACTAATGGCGTTGGAATCGGTAGCCTTCGTGGCTCAGTAAGTATGGAGCTGGCTCACTAACCTGGAGGTCCCTGTTTTGGCCCGGTCAGTTTTATCAGAATTTTTCAGTCTGATTGGCCATTGTCAGTGGTGGCAAGGAAAAAGAATCTAGCCATTGGGATAGTATGAAAAATTGAGGTCCACCTGTGTAGTTGTTTGCTTTGCATGTAATAGAACCCTTGAAAAATGGAATTATACGAAGAGTAGGTTCGAACAACACTGGGCCAAATATCTTTCATAGCACACACTACATGACATATGCCTGTCTTTATTAGACCGATTGGTGCAATAGGGCATTAAACAATATTTTATTTTGTGTAGCAATTATCAAAGTGAATATAAGTTAATGTTTATATTGCTGAATGTTGTCATCTATATTATGGCCCAATATCAGGTTCCACAATTTGATCAAATAATAACTGCAAATTTCAATAATACAACTACAGCTACATACACTGTAAACCAGGTATCATTTAATCTTGTGTATCTAGCACTAATTTCTATCACATTCGTTTAATATCCAATCTTTGTTTAAAAATTTGTAAAAACTGTTTAAAATCACCATAAATTGTTTAATTTGTACTTCTGTCCAGTTTAAAGCTGACCATTCAATTCTGATGAGTGTCCAATTTACAAGCGTTTAATTTCTCAATCACTGTTAAAAAATAAACAACCCAATTGATTAATGATGTGTAATGATTCATTTTTGAACAGTGGTCAGGAAATTAAATACTTATAAATTGGACACTCATTATCAAAATTAATCAGTCAACTTTAAACTGGACACAAGTATAAATTAGATGATTTGGGGTGATTTTAAATGATTTTTACAAATTTTTAAACAAAGATTTGATATTTAACGAATGTAAAAGAAATTAGATTGGGTTACAGTGATAGCTTATGGCTAGTTTTGGAAGCAGAAAATATTTAAAAACATATGTGTATGTATATAGTCCCTAAAATATGAGTAAGAGAAGATTGGATGTGTATTGTTTTGTAACTTGTTTCTGTAGTGTATATACCAGATGAATGGGAAGTTGATAGAGATAAAATTAAGTTATTAAAAGAGATTGGTGAAGGATCATTTGGTATGGTGTGGGAAGGTTTAACTTCAGATACATGTATACCACCGTATAAAGAAAATATAGCAGTTGCTGTAAAGGTACGGTAAAACATAATATAATCTGTCTGCCCTCAAATCTTTCAATATCTTGTTGAATTCCTGGTATTGCTTGTTCATATTAAATTTATTCCTTTATTCGAATTATTTAGCCATTATCGAAGGTTCAAATTATTTAGCCTTTAACAGAGGTTTCAATTATTTTGGTGGGACAAAATTTCCTGCATAGTACACTGTATGGCATATGCCCATCTTCATTATCCCAGTCGGAGCAGAACAGTAGGTTGTTAAACCCCATTTCCTTTTGTTTCATTTCATTTAGCTTCGGAATATATCTGAACTACTATGAAAAGTATATTTGTTACCCAAAACAACATTTGTTTTCCCTAGAAATTACATTGCAAAGAATATAGTATATACATATTTATGAATAATAAATATATATTTCAGACTGTAAATGATCACGCTGGTGTCCAAGATAAAATGAATTTCCTGAAAGAAGCATCTATTATGAAGTAGGTTCTATTACATCAGATTTAAGTTGACTTTAAGTCGACTTTAAAGTAGCTAAGTCACTTACTCAATATCATCCACAAACATGACTTATTGCTCAAACTAAATCAATATTGATGTTGTTATCTAACCATCAAAATATGAGCTTCTGGTATCCAATATTTAAGACACAATGAAAATTTTAAACTTGGCACACGAATCGCATGCCAGAATGCTTAAGACCGCCATTTCTAATGAAGTGACTGGATGAATGAGGCTAAGCATATCCCACAAAGGAAGACTGGAATAACTGGACACCAAAGACATAACTGATTAGAAATTACAGTAAAAACAGTACCGATTGAATGTTAATCAGTTTATATACATTCATATTACATTATTTTATGCATTACAACCCATTCGTGTCCATTTCTAGGTGCCAAAGAATAGCGATTAAGCTCCTTTAAAGCCATATTTTTCAGACAATATCTAATTTCGCTTGGCTAAATCAATGCTAAAATGCATTCAAAAAAAAAAATTAACATCAATTTAAGAAAACAAAACCAAAATACAGAAGTTTAGATTTAGGCAGATTAAAAAGAGATCAATCTGTAAATAGATTTTTCCCAACATTTTAAGTTGATGAAACCTTGTTTATGTTGTCTGCAGAGGATGCTGAATGGTGCAAAAATTTTATTAATTGTACCTTTATAAATACTGATGAATAGAATTGAACTATTTTTGGACTGCTGTTCATGGTAATACTTTGTAAATAATGATAGATTTTTGGTTTTGACTGTAGACTATAGACAGCCCTTCCATTGTTATTTCCGTCTTGAATATCATTTTATAGAGAATATATTATAATACATGTTTTTTATTAGGGCATTTTCGTGTCATCATGTAGTAAAACTATTGGGTGTTGTATCTAAAGGACAACCAGCTCTTGTTATAATGGAATTAATGAAACAAGGTGATCTCAAGAATTATCTACGCTGTCATAGACCTGATGTTGAGGTAAACTTCATTTTCCTACTGATTTTACAGTGGTGTTGATCGTAATCTACACAATATTATATTATTATCAAATAGTTAATAACCCAAACCTTCAAAGATAAACCCACACAATAAATACTAATACATATTAGAAAGTATTTGATCAACATTCATCAAGCAAGGTCATGTGTTCGATTTGTCCATGGTGCATATGGTCTTTTAAGAAAAGTATCATTTAGCTTTTTAGGTGATCACATTTACTGACTAAATAGATAAGCCTCCATTGATCACCAACTAATGTCTACATAAAAATAAATGACAAATCTCCTGACATAATTCTTATTTTTGTCCGACTTGTCATTACTTTTCACTGAAACATAAGATGGAATTAAATGGGCTTTAACGTCCTACTTCTTTACACAGACTGGGCTAATAAAGATGGGCATATGCCATACAGTGTTCTGTGAGAGAAAATTTGCCAGGACTATGTCCTAATCTTTATTTCGAATTGCAACTGTCAAGGGTTATTTTATGTGCATGCCACATACTGATCAAAGAGAAATGTTTCCCCGAAAAATCCTGAGGAACTTTCTTGGCCCTCACCACTAGTGAACCTGATACCGCATGGTTAATAAGCAAGGGTTGTACTCACAGAGACACTGCCCTTTTACTTGTAACAGTAAATGGACCAATCAATTTTAACAAGATTCTTGAAACAGTAAATGGACCAGTCAATTTTAATAATTTTATTGTGTTAATGAAATGTGGTAAAATTCTGTGACAGTACATTTTTGATTGGAACAAATGCAGCATAGTATTTCAATTTATTTGTTAATTCTGTTTCAAGTATTTAGCAAATGGAGATATTTGATTGCAACTTATTTTTCAGGAAAATGAAGGAAAGCAACCACCCACTCTCAAGGAAATATTACAAATGGCTGGAGAAATAGCTGATGGAATGGCATATTTAGCTGATAAAAAATTTGTTCACAGAGATTTAGCTGCAAGAAATTGTATGGTAGCTGAAGATAATACTGTTAAAATTGGAGGTAAATACCAATACCATAAACTATTTACTGGAGAAATAATTTCAAAATAATTAAATCCGGTTATTTTAAAAACAATGTGACACTGTTCTATGAATTATTTCAGATTTTGGTATGACCAGAGATATCTATATGACAGATTACTACAGAAAAGGTGGTAAAGGTCTTTTACCAGTCCGTTGGATGGCACCAGAATCATTAAAAGATGGAATATTTACAACTATGTCAGATGTTTGGTATGAAATGAAATGATTAGATTTTACTAAGCATGAACATTTTAGTTAAATGGAATACCCTGACATGTGTTTCAGTTTAAAGAATACCTCTTTGATAATAGATCTAAAAGTCAATTGTAGACAGTTATCATTCTGGGACATATCTCAGGAACCATTAGGAAATAGGTATAGAAACATCTGTTGGTATTACCTTGTAGTTTTCCACCTCGTGGGTTTTCTCCGGTTCCTCCGGTTTCCTCCCACTGCTAAAGACGCCTATGCGCAAGCGAATTATTGAAATAAAATTAAACCATATGTTTGTCCCGAAATGACCTAGTTTGTGTCAAGTGGACGTTAAACCCCATTTCTCTCTCTCTCTCTCTCTCTTGTAGTTTTCCACAATGAAACACATGGAATTGGTAAAGTAACATCTAATGATCTGTTAAATCATATAGTAGTTGTCCACAGTGAATCTCTTGGAATCAATAAAGTAACCCCTAATGATCTGTTAAATCATATAGTAGTTGTGAACAATGAAACTCTTGGAATCAGTAAAGTAACCCCAGATGATCAGTTAAATCAATTTTGTAATAAGACCAGCTACCAAAGTATGATATGCCAGATATGATGAGTGCAAATAATGGATTTCATTATTTAAAACAATATTGTTTATTGACATGAATATGATTTATGATAAATATTATTCTGCCATATAGTAAATAGACAATTTACTTTGTAATTAGGTCTTATGGAGTTGTTTTATGGGAAATGGCTACACTAGCAGCTCAGCCATATCAAGGTTTATCAAATGAAGAAGTTTTAAAATACGTATCGGATGGAAAATTCATGGAAAAACCAGAAGGTTGTCCAGATAAATTGTAAGTTCATCTTTCTATTAGTGATACATGTGGTAAAAAAAGTTATATACTATTCAAAAAAAGTAGGGGATATTTGATTTTGGGGGCATAATACTAAAATATGCAAATGACTACGAAAAAAGTCACTATAGAACCTAACAGAAGAAACATTTCCAGTTACATGTGACGCCCAAACGCACCAATAGCTACCGCATGGAATGCAGGTGATGCTTGGGATCATCATGGGGGTCCAACCCAAGATTTGCACGACTCTGACTTTGAATGTTACAGTCATTGTGGCATTGAATTCCAGGGTGGAAACATCAGTTTAATTGTTTTAGTGACCAGAAAACAAATTTTGATATGCGTCGGCTTACCCAAAATGAAAGGTTACGTGCCCTTGGCATGCTACAGATTGGCACAACACAGGCGGTTGTGGCGCGGACGATGAATGTTTCTCAGTCTGTCATAAGCAGGCTATGGTCCAGATACCGTGATACACAATCTGTACAGGACAGACCACGCTCAGGTCGACCAAGGGCGACAACTCAAGCCCAGGATCGATTTATCCGTACCTTGGCCTTGAGAAATCGTGTCATCACAGCAAATCAGATCAGCGCTCGTCTTCAAACAGACACTGGTGTGAGAGTGAGTGGCCAGACGATTCGGAATCGACTGCATAGGGGTCACCTTCGCGCCCGACGTCCTCGCGTGATCCCTTGTTTGAGAGATCATCACATTCAGGCAAGACGTCGTTGGTGTAGGGATCGTCAACACTGGGATAATCGACGCTGGAGCAATGTGATGTTTTCAGATGAGTCAAGGTTCACTGTTGATTTTTGGGACAGACGTAGGAGGGTGTGGCGTCGTCGAAACGAGCGCTTCCAAGACGTTAACGTCATCAGACATGATCGATTGGCGGGTGGTTCTGTTATGGTGTGGGGAGGCATCACTGTTGCTGGAAGAACGGCTTTACATGTTGTTGCAGGGCGTGTTACAGGCCAGTACTACCGGGACAACATCTTGGCAGTCCATGTTGTGCCGTTCGCACGACGTCATGGCCGCCGTTTCATCTTCCAGGATGACAACGCAAGATGTCACAGGGCCAGGATCGTTACAGGTTACCTCCAACAACAGAACATCACCACATTACCTTGGCCAGCACTGAGTCCCGACCTCTCCCCCATCGAGCATGTCTGGGACATGCTTGGACAGAGGTTACGTCAACGTCAACAACGTCCTGCCAATGTCCAAGAACTTGCTGCTGCGTTGCAACAGGAATGGGACAATCTGGACCACAATGACCTTAGACGTCTCATTAGGAGTATGCCACGTCGGATCAATGCTTGTTTGGCAAACAGAGGAGGATTTACCCGTTACTGACTTGGTTGTGATGCTGTGGTAACTTTGCTGTTTGACCCCGGGTATCATTTTACCCTTATAATGGTCAGTCTGTGCCTTACTTAGTCTAACGATCATTTGGAATAAATCGATGAATGTGAACTTCATTTCATTTTGTCATTTGTTTCTTCGTCAGTTTCATTAGGTGACTTTAATAACACTTAAAAATCAAATATCCCCTACTTTTTTTGAATAGTATAGTTGCTAATTACTCCTGGCAATGTTACCACATTATGTGCTGGTGTATTTAACTTGATAAGAAGAAACTCCACCTGTTGTTTTTCGATGATTTCAAACTGATAACTGCCGATTTTCAGTTTGTAATAAAAGCTCTATAATCTGTTGGACTTTTCTTGCATGGAATTTTCATAGGTTGTTCAGCTTCATAGTGATCTCATGATGTTAAGAAGAAAATACTTTGTATTAGTTACAATTCTCTTATGTCAATAAAATGATCAATTACAAAACCTTTCAAAATAAGTCCACAATTATCACAAAGCCTTCAATATTATATGGCCCCTAATAAAACTATCTCTGTTTTTTTCCCTACAGATATGAGTTAATGCTACAGTGCTGGTGTTATAGAGACAGACAGAGACCAACATTTAAACAAATTATAGAAATGTTAGTTCCAGATTTAAATCCAAACTTTGAGCTAGTCTCGTATTTCTTTAGCGATGAAAATAAACCTGATGGACCTGAATTTAATGATATAGAAGAAAATGATTTGGAGAACATTGATATTGATACTTACGATGGAGATATGGACGATCAAAGTGATTATAATCTTCATGATGAATCAACAATACCATTTATAGAACATGACTTGCATAACACAGAATTAAACAAATCTCCGTCACGAACAATACGTGCCAGTACCTCGGGTCCGTGTGAATGTGTTATGCTGGAGGAAATGGGTGATTTACCCAATGGACATCGTACAAGTAATTGCTCCAGTCCTAACAGTGCAATAGGTAACAGTGACGGCAGTAAAGAAAGTAGTAAAAGTAGTGACGGCAGTTACACACAAAGAAATGGTATGCCAAATGGTCATATACATTTCAGACTTCCACATACAACCCAATGCTAGCGATTGTTGAGTCATGATGTTGATAATTTATGGTGTGTAAAGTGAATCGTCAGTGTGTGTGTATAATCTATCTATTGATGGACATTGTGTGAATTGTTTTTATGTTAAAACAAATGGATTATATATGGATCTCAGCCTTCCTCTCTGTCAGTCAGTTAAACATCCAACTATTAAAACCTCATCTTGTTTTCTGTGTTGTATGTTTTGTTGCTAACTAAGACCAGCCATTAAACGTTTGGTTTTGTGCGAGTGTGTGTGTGTGTGTGTGTGTGTGCGTGTGTTATTTTGTTGTGAATCTCTCTCTTCTCTCTTATTCTTCATTTCATGTTAATGTTTCATTCGACCAACAGAATTACATTAATGTAATATATAGTCTATAGTGCTCATACAATTAACAGACTGTGTGCTATATTGACTGTTAAATATTTTAACTGAAGACCTGGCCAGAGTTGACCAAAGATAAAGTGTACAATATTCATTCAAAAATGAGCACCAAAATACATTAAAGCATGGTTAGTTTTGTTTGTTACATTGTAATAAATGGGAAGGACTTCTTTGATTTTAATTTGCAATGTACATTAGATATACTATTTAAAATTATACATCCTAGGAATTAGCCAACTATGATATTGGCTGGAGGACTTTACAAAAGGTTCTAGTCGAAATATTACAAAGACTAAAGACTTCCTTAAATACAACATTTTAATGGAAACAAACACTACTATAGTAATGTTCATGCTTGTATCAATGAAGTCTTGTTTGTTTTGACATAAAACATTCATGAACATTGATATTATTAAATCATTATTTTTTAGTAAACCTCAGACTATTTAAGTGCCATCAAATTTACGTCATTTATGAATGTGTGAATTTGTTCATTATCATGTAGAAATGTTTTAAGGATGTGATCCCGGTTAGAGAACACTAGACCATAAAATTTCACAGATAGTCTTAGCTTGAAATGATGGGACCGAGACAGTCAAACTCTGGATCAAACGTACATGTTGTGCAAACAAGCTATCAAACTGTGTTTCATCCAAACGTATATATTCTCAATCTCTGCTTTATTAACTGAAACGAAATACAGTTACAATGAATTGACTTTTAATTTCATTTTTGGCTTCTTCTATACAATCTGAAATATGGATGTAACCACAATTTTGTTTTACTTGGGAGTTAATGATAACTAAAAAGAAAACCTCATATCTTGCATAACCCATTTTTACATAACCAATTGGTTACACAAATTAACTTTTCATATTTGAAAAAACAAAAAATAAAGGTTACGCAGATCTTAAACCCATCTGTTGTCTGGTTATTGCCAATGTCTGAAATTTCACTGCTTGTACATCGTAAATGAATCTTAAATGTCTATTTCTCTTAAAATCTACATAAAACAAAGCTATTTGGAAATTCTCAAAATAGGCCTACATTTGTATCCATAATTTATTGTTTGTAGACCAATATGTTGTATCAGTATTATAAAATCATTGTTTACTGATGAAATACATGTTTGCTAAATTACTGAATCATGCTACTGAATTAGCTGAATATTTAAAGTTCCACAAATTTCTCTTTGTTATGAATAAACTTTACCAAATTTCAGTATTAGTCAAGGTATCTGAGATAATCAAACGAGGCAAATTCAACACTTTTAAAGTAGAGTTTTGGGTTGAAAGACCCTAATAACATTGCGAATAAATTTGAGAAAATATAAAAAATGTATTTATTTAATAAAGGTAATTATCTGCTATGTTACTATTATATTAGAAACAACAACTACGCACAAAAAAGTGTATTTTATGCTAAAACAAATAAGTGCTAAACATTTTACTGGTCACATACTTAAATCTACATTTATAAATGTGAATATACATGGGTTATAAAAGCATAATATCTTGCATTTCGCACTGTATTTCAATTTAATAGGGTTAATACATTTTAAAAATAATATGAACTTAGCAGTTAGCAAGGTATTTCCGAAAATAATATTCTTTCATTAGGATTTAGGGGAATACCCCATTATAATTGACACTCAGAGGTTTGTGTTTTTAAACTGTCTTGTTTCTCAATACGGAAAAGTACATTTATATATTTGATTCTAGTTAAATTAGCAATTCTGGAACCTAGAGTCGTTTTTAAGTCTTAGAATGGTTAAGGTATGGAGAACCAAGAGATTAGAAGAATTTTGTATGTACACAATATGTTCACATTGTTATCTGATAATGATATAAATCTTGCCAAATTGTATTAAATATTTTTAATTTTTGTCTATTTTGTAGAATGCTCGATGTGTTTGTGTTATAACAAAGCTATAATAACTTTTAATCATCTTTTTCAAGTCAATCAGTTTTATGTTATAAATAGGTACACTATTCTTTTCGTCAGCAAATTTTATTTCAATTTCAATTGTGCACATGTAAATATGTTATGAATATAATAATATACTGTCATAATGAATGGTGAGAGATATGTATAATGTAAAATCTATATAGTAAGCTATATTTTATCTTTGTCTATACTTGTAAATTGTATTATAAACCTTTAAGATAATTTATTGAGACATGTTATAGGAAAAATGTTTTTATAATCGCTGTAGCCTAGATGTACACTTCATTACCGGTAAATTGATTTCCTACTGTATGTTCACCACAAAAAAGTACAAATTTACATATTTTTATTTAATTCCACATCACTTTACATTGTTTCTTATTCAGTATAAAATTAAAAACCACATACAACTTTATTTTTTATAGATTATTTAACAGTCATGAAATGATCTTGTGATCTTAAACATACACTGACTCTTTATGAATGTTTATGGTCACTGATTATGCACAAGTTTATGTAGTGCTGGTTCTTCCAGTTTTCATTGGACTGAAGTTTTCTCCACATACACATAAAAAATCAACCATCAAAATTTGTCTTGAATATTGACAGGAGAAACCCACCCCTGCTTCATACTGACACTCTCTTGAAATAAAGTATTATTAACAGGAGACAAATATTTACCAAATCTAAAAGTTTACGTCTAATTTTCAGAAGATTTACAATAAAAAAAAAGTACACAAATACTATTATAATGGAACATTTCAAATAAAACAGACTATTCAATTTTAGAACATCTTATTTTAAGTATCCTTAATAAATTAATAAAAGAGTGAGTAATTAATTTTAATTTTGTTATGACATTGTTTTACTGGAGAAATTTGATGAAATAGTTATAATTGTTAATGCTTGCTCCATGTAAATTAAATGAATTACTTGGGAATATGTTATGTTTTTGTACAGAATTTTTTTTTTTTTAATTGGCAGTTATTTTAGATTGAACATTCTTGTTAGGTTATTTATAAGTCATATCCCCTTTATTTTTATAGCCCTTTATTTGAACCAACCTGAAGTTTAAGGTAGTAACTTAGAAAACATGTATATATTAGTTTTTCAATCAAAGACATATGATGTAGGTAATATAAATGTTTAAAACCACTCAGTGTACATAGCACAGTTTACAGAAGCTTTAGTTATTTTAGTAATGTTTTAATCTAAATTTTAACCACATCTGTTGTTAATGTGTGCATATCGCTTGATTTTACCTCTAAAAAAACATTCATAATTACTCCAAAGATTTGTTTTAGAACTATTTTAAAGTTAGAAAACCCCCTGCCAGCAACGTATATTTACATTTCAATTCTTTATCTTAATTATGCTTTATTTACATTATATTGGGAATTAGCAATGCAATATATCAAGGGGATTCCCTTTTTGGAATAAAGATGCAATCAGAGTGGTGGATGACTTAACAGGACACATTAAATTCCATTTTTATGTCATTTTGGGTAATCAGAGAATTACGATTTCTGACAATGAACATTTTTTCTTTACCCCTCACAAATTTATGGATAACTACTACTAGATTATTTAACTCTTCGATTTTGTCTTTTTGAAGAAAACAATGATTGATAAAGACAATAGAATTTTTGTCAAGATGTCAGTTTAATAAATCTAGTAGTTGTTATCTTTACAATTTTGTGATAAGCCATGTATCGCGAACAGAATAATTTTGTTGGGGCTGCTCTAACTTAATGTATTAAAATTTATGAAAAAAAAATATTTTAGGAAGCTTTCTAAATAATTTTTAGAATAAAAATAAATCATAGGCAAATCATGTTAATTATGAGGATAACTATTAGGAACTGGTTTACATTGATTGGTATTGCTATAAACTAATGATTAATAACAAGGGATTATTCCTCTAATATCCAGGATTAAAGTGACATCATGCATGCTCCATATCATCGATATTATGGTTATGTTTCACAGATAATTCACCTAGTCAAATTTAACTATTTTAGAACAATCTTTAGGGGGGGAAAAAACGCCTATCTAAAATTATAATTAAAAATGGTGGGCCTCTATTTCAAAACTATTTGCTCAAGTCTTCCTTTCGATCACAAATCATTATTCACATTTTCTGTACATGTATATTTTCTTTTATGATGTCTTGTCAATCATTAACCAAATTGGTCTTATCAAATCATATATCATATGGATATTTTGTCTTTATATTTATTTCAATTCCGTTTAATAACATAGATAAGATGTTTCACAACCACATTATAGTTACAAGCTCGCATTAAGTGTGTTTTAAACATGTATGCATATTTTGGAATCAGCCTGGGTTTTTTTGGTTTGTTTTTTAATAATATAAATTGTATTATTGTAAATGTAACAAAAATGATAGTTTTCTATTGAAGCAAATGTTAGACAATAACATAGATGTATTTGGCAAGACTTTTCTAGGTTCAATAATTATATTGATTGAAACTACATATTTACCACAATAATTAATTTGGATTGACAAAACAAACATTTTTATTTCATGAAATCAATAGTTCAATCTGCTTTCTCACAATTTTCCAAACCACACCTTATTTTATGATTTTAATAACCACAACCTAGAAGATAAATAAAGGTATTAATGCAGGCAGTAACATAAATATTATCATTTGTTATTACTTCTACTCTCCTCATTCTGCCTAATATCACATTCAAAAAAATGTTTACATTAGATACAAGTGATATTTATCATTAGAACTGTGTAAAATATCCGGGTAACATATTTGAGTATGGTAATCCTGGAGTTAATAGGATTACAAAATCAATTTTGTGGCCTATATTCATTCATTCAGCACAAATGAATATTTTTTAGAACTATATGTGATAAATCTATAGAAGCTATTTATATTGTAACATTTTTTTTTAGAAATATGTATTTTATATAATTATATTATATATACCATTTCTATCACACTTATATTAACAGGCTTTCTTGTTGTCATGACAACCACATTTTACAGCTTATAAAACAGACAATCTAGTTCTAGATTTTTTGTGATACTTTGTTTTAATATGTTTAGTTTTTCATTGTATTATATGTCCATCTCTCACCTGTTAAATGCTGTCAATATGTGTACTAACCAGTGAATGGTTGTACAGAATCAGCCAATGATTTCATTGTAAATATAGACAATTATTAATGTATTTATGTATATAAAATCCAGTTGTAGATGTCACAAGAGTTTTGTCTACTGTTCAACATATTCTGCACTGATTCGCAGTCTTTTTCACAGCAAAAAGTTGTTGGGTTAGGTGGCCTTCATCGTCAATAGAAGGCTTGATCTCGCTTTAACTACGTACATCTTATCAAGGCCTTCACCTTATCAAGGCCTTCACGTAATACCCTGCATATTGTGGCACTAATTTCGATTGGATACACGCCCAACTTGTGAGCCTATCAGATTCCTCGATCGTCGCGAATACCAAGTCTCGTGCTTTCAAGCTAAAATGTCTACCTGTGATAATCGAGTTGCAAAGTTCAAGGTTCATTCAATGTCAAGGTTTCCGTGGAGGTCGCGATGTCACAACCTCTGATTGGACGCTACTGCTCACGTGTCTGTAGATAACATAGCTATAAGTTCGGGAATTGTGAAGTAAACAAGCAACGGCCAGATGTTGTGAAACCCGCAGTCGTTGCTTCAGGAACATGGGTGGCCCTACAGTTTAAGGTGTGTGTGTTAGATTTTACGGTCTGTCATTGAGTCAGGTGGCGTGATACAAAATATTTTTTTTATCCAGATATTCTTCAATAACTTTTTTGTCTTAATTTATAAAAAAATGTTTTACAATTCAATTTGCAGAAGAAAAAAAATTAATATTGGTAGCTAATTAACGTGCACAAATGTCACCCCTTTTAAGTGTTCAAAACTAAAAAAAAACATCCCAATAAGGAATTTACTGTTTTAACTTACACATGATTCTAAATATAGGAGTTGAACTGGATGTTGTATATTCTTTCTATCTATTCTTGGTTTTAATCTTTGCTGATGAACCCCAAACTTCACTTCACATATATTGATTATGCCATCTCACCCCCCCCCCCCACCCCAAAGGATTAATACTGAATTAACGTAGTTTCATTCTCGGATGACATCACTTGTTGAAACCTCAATATCTAACCGCTCCTGCTACAATGCTTTAAAAATCTCTGTAGATAATAAATATATTGAAAATTCCACTAAAATTACTTTATTCAGAGCAAAGTTATGAGTGTTTGAAGTTTTGACAAGATGAAGCAGAGAGAGACTTGATTGTCAATTCAAGTACCATTGCTGTGTAACAAACGAAGTCTTGATTATCATCTTTAACATTAATTTATTAAATTGAGCAGATGTTCTAATCTATTTAATATCTCATCCATCTCGGTTATCCCCTTTAACTTTAAATTATTACATTGAGTGGGTGTTCTAATCCATTTAATACCTCGTCCATCCGGTGGCCTAGAGAGTTGATTATGAGCTCGCAGAGACAACTGTCAAAGGTGTTTTTTTCTTTGCAGGAAATCTTCTGAAGCTTTGGAGAAATGAATGTGGAGTTAAATCTGGTACGATGAAATACTCTGGATGCATATCCATATCTTCGACAAATCTCCTTAATTTGTTTTGAATAACGAGCCATAAGTCTGTGTAATTGAAAGCTGGTGCTTCTCCATACCAGTGGTTCATTTCAATCCATTCCTAAATTGCAAAGGTCCTGGAACAGATCTAGAATTACTCAATAAATGGTGATTTTAAAGGATCGGAAAATCCGGAAAAGACACCAAGAACATGACATTTTGTTAAGTCAATATCTTTCACAAATTATCTTACCATCGTATATCGAATATATTCGACGGGATTCCATTTGACGCCTAACATCTGATTGTTTATGGAATTAAGTTTCTATCAAAATACTAATTTAGAAAGAAATCATCATCGATAATGACAATTTTACTTAACTTTGTTTCGTCTGAATTTACTTCGCTTGACTTTTTCTTCTGATTGAATTCTCTTGATTTGATGCCGGGGCGCTGTGTGGTCATTGCTAGCCCCCCTTAACATCCTCTGAAAATTTCAAGTGCCTACGATCACGGGAACTGGTAGAGTTACGAAAGTGCAATAGCGCCCGTTGAATTTGAGGTAGATTTTCTTCTGCTGAATCCACCGTCATTCAGTCTAATTTATGTTTTTGATAGAATTCGTATGCTGAATTTTCATCATTGGTGCACAATGGCGGGGAACCAGAGTTGATAAATTATACACGTTAGTCTAGCACGATAGCGGCCCTACCGTAAGCCGATTGCTATATGACCTGTAACATAGGCGTACGGGCCCGATGACAGTTAGGGGGGCAGAACCCGAAATGCCCGAAAAATTTCGGGTTTACAGACAGCGGCGCCGGTCTTCCTTGAGAGGCGAAGAAACAAAGTTTACCTTGCATGGCCCCCCCCCCTCCACCCAAGAAAAATTTGGAATATTTGACGGCTGGAAACACGTTTTCCTGGTATTTCAGCCCGTGAACAAAGCAACTTCAAAGTGGTCTAATAATATAGTCTAATTTTGGTGCCTCCTAATTCCAATCAATCGTTCACAGTCCACGGAGACGGGATTGTCATTGTTGGGAGAAAATTTTGAAAATTTAACTGCTATTCCAGCCTGTGAATACAGCAACTTCAATTTGGTTCAATATAGCCTACCTGGCTGACCCGAATTCCAAACAACCAATCAATCGTCGCGGGGTATGGGGGCCCCACCAATCCTCCCGGAGAAAATTTTGAAAATTTAACCACCGCAAATGCGTTTTCTGCTATTCTAGCCCGTGTAAGCAACTCCAAAAGTATCCAATGTTGCAGCTGCATTCACAAATAACAATCGATGCCCGAAAAATGTCGCACAAATTAGAGTGGCTCCAGACAAAATGTTTTAATCCATAGTCAACTCAGTACAAGTAAAAGAAAAGTAAAATTGGTGTTTTTTTAGGGCTCGATGACAGTTGGGGAAGCAAAATTAGAAATGCCCGAAAAATTTCAGGTTTACAGAGAGCGGCGAAGGTTTTCTTCGAAAGACGAAGAAGCGGAGCTGACCTTGTATGGACCGCCCAAGAAAATTTTGGAATATTTGACGGCCGCAAACGCGTTTTACTGCTATTCCAGCACGTAAAATTAGTGTTTTATTAGATTTCGAGCACTTTATTTTGCCAAGTAGATGAAATAAAATTTTTTTTTCACTTTACCCGTCTGTCCGAAAAGTCAGCTTGCCCGAAAGTTAGGGGGGGAGTTGCCCCCCCCCCCCACCTGCCCCCCTGGCTCGTACGCCTATATGACCAGACCTAGCAAAAAATCTAAATGGTCAATCCCTTCAATATTTATTATCAGATGATTGTGACACGTTTGGCCTTTGTGGTTAGAAAGATTACAGCCATCGGAATATTTTTTAAAAAAATGTTATTTGCTAAGAATTGTCATGAATTTGACATCATATCAACGGAGAGAGAATTACTAGTCTGAATCCAACTGGTTTCTGCGGCTGCAAGAAAAAAGAGTTATCCCCCTTGTACTGTAAGTCGAAGAAAGTTCCAGATGGAAGTGTCAAAAAGTGTTTTTGCTCTTTATAGGTCAGATGGCTTATGTCGACCGTCCGTCTGTATGACATGAAGATTTATCCCGAAACCACTTCGGTCCGTATACAAATGTCTTTTCGCTAAACTATTTGTATGCCCGCCTGTCTAACCGTCAGTCCGACCAAAAAAATAGACTACATTTTCGTTTTCAACTCCTTCGACTCTAAAAGCTAAAAGCTAAGACCCATTGCAGATTTCGTCACTCATATAGGTCACGAGATGTTAAAAGGGTTATCTGAGTTAGGAAACATGAGTGTTGACGGGAGTGTGGGTTAACCCTTTTTAAATCTCGCGACCCATGATGGAATCTGCAATGGCCCTTAACTTTTAGCCATAACCTGATGGACGCCCCCTTCAGACTGTCCGTCCGACGTAAACAATAGACTATGGACTAGACTACATTTTCGATCGTTTTCGACTTCTTCGGAATCGCTGTGATCACCGCCAATTTTCATGTGTAGGAAAACCCATGACCAAAAAAACATTTTTTTTTTTACCAGAACCGTGTTTGGATGTCTAATGTAGGCAGTGAAACCTACAGAGCCGGATTACATTAAGCTTGTATGTAGCACCTGGCTGAAAATGTCACTGGGGTCCTTGCACCAACAGTGGAAATGGGGCATATATTGATGATATTCTAGTCAATGATCATCACAGTTGCAGAAATGCAGTTTATCACCCAATAATACATTCTACAGTAGATATCGCTTGTGTGATAGGGCCTATATTTCATAATCTACTGCGATATCTCCTTAGGAGATATCGCTTTACATGAATTTGATTGTCAGTTGAAAAGGAACGACTTTTTTTTTATTTTCAAAGAACAGTTCACTTCTTATTAAAAGTAACTTTTTTAATACATTCTACAGTAGATATCGCTTGTGTGATAGGGCCTATATTTCATAATCTACTGCGATATCCCCTTAGGAGATATCGCTTTACATGAATTTGATTGTCAGTTGAAAAGGAACGACTTTTTTTTTATTTTCAAAGAACAGTTCACTTCTTATTAAAAGTAACTTTTTTATTATTAAAAATAACTATTGTTATTCAATTGACCTTGATGGAAACACTGGTTCAATATAAAGGACTTTGCAATGGTTGAATTGCTGTCAAAAAATGATGTATCACTACGCCGTAATGTTCAGTAAAAGTGAAATCTACAGCAAAGAATTATATTTATTTATTTGTGCATGTTAGAAGGGATTGGGTGATAAATAAAATCTCCTACTCGTCTTTTTTGATATCAAAAAATATCAACACTCGTCGATAAAGTAAAAAAAAAACTCGGTAGAGCCTCGTTTTTAGTTACTTTATCAACTTGTGTTGATATTTTTTGATATCAAAAAAGACTGGTAGGAGATTCTCTATTTATATATCAGTACGGTAGATAATAATATAAAAAATTATATGCAGATTTTTATTAATAGGCCTAGCTTTTGCCTTTTTCTTTGGTGATAAATATGGTCGAATCGTGTTGTGAATATATGTTACCTAGACTTTAATGTGTAATATTTTTTTTTTTTTTTTTTTTTTTTGGTTTAAGGCCACAAGTTAAGTTGAAAACATTAAATATTTATAT